GCTGTGTGTTCAGAAAATGGCAGCATTAGCATGATCTGAGGGTGGAGTTTCCAGCCTTCTGAGATCAACAGGTCACTCATTGGGCACCTACACAGACCCAAGTGAAGCTTTTGTGGTTTCAACAAAAGCAGCCTGAAGGTCCCTGAAAAGGAGCCCCAGCAACCATTGTCACCAGGACCCATTGTCATCAGGACCCATATGTCAGAGGTGTTATCTATAAGCAAGGCAAGGAGAGGCTCAACATAGAACTCCACTGTGTGAGTTTTAAAGCTAACTAAAGCCAATAACTAGGAGAGGAGCACAGGGACTTGGAGTCAAAGGAGGAAAACACACAATGGGTTGGTTAGTGTGAAAGAGACTCGTCCAGCTGAGTTTGTTGGCTGGTAATTATCCATATTAAGGCTTTGTTCCCCCATGAAGTCTTGGAGGCAGAGGTCCTATCCTTTTGATAGTTACATTCCTGAGAATGGCTCTCAGGCTCTTGAGAGATGCTTCTGAGCTACAGAAGATGCCTATCTCCAATGTAAGCCCTGCTTTTGGTAAATGCCCAGCAAATGGCCATGGCCATTGAGCAAGGGCTCCTCCATTCTGCAACCTTTGCCAGTGTTAATGCCATTAGATGTACCTCTTAATCACACAGCAACTTGCACAGCTTCACCATGATCTGTTAGAAGGGAGTCATGGAAAGTTCTCGTAGGATCTACTGCTGAGTGTCGTCTCTGGCATCCCTTCTCTCTAACCTCTATTTCCTCATATCTGTCAAGAAAAGGGTGTGATCCAGGGTTTCCCAGCCCTGGTTGCACTGGAGGTCACCTAGGGAGCCTTTTAAAAATCCCCATGCCCATTCAGGCATGGTAGCACATGCCTGTAATCCCAGCAGCTCAGGAAGCTGAGGCAGGAGGATTGCCAAAGCCAGCGTCAGCAAAAAGAGAGGCACTAAGCTATTCAGTGAGACCCTGTCTCTAAATAAAATACAAAATAGGGCTGGGGATGTGGCTCAGTGGTCAAGTGCCCCTAAATTCAATCCCCAGTAACCCTTACCCTCCAAAAAAAAAATCCCCATGCCCAGAGACTCCAATTCAATTGATGTGGGAGTGAATGTTGGTGCCCTTTTTGAGTTCCCGCTGACCCTCCATGGAGCCAGCTGTAATGGCCGAATGCTAAGACCCTGGTACCAGGATTACAATTCTATTGCTTCTTCCATGTCACACAAAACCAATTCATTTTCCAGGACTAACCATTGGTGCTGCCTGCAGCCTGGCCCAGGTGAAGGACATCTTGGCTGAGAGCATCTCTGAACTCCCAGAGGAGAAAACTCAGACATACCGGGCCCTTCTGAAGCACCTGCGGAGTCTGGCAGGCCAGCAAATCCGGAATATGGCGGTATGTTCCCTGCTTTCAATCACTGAGCACACCTCGCCTCTTTCTAAACCTCACTGAAATGTCAGAATACGTGTTGGCAGAATCAGTATGCCAAAAGGTCTCGGCAGATTAGTAAGTAAATCAATATTTAAAATTAACAAGTATTATTTAATAAAATATCCAGAAATGAGCTATAAGTCAAATTTAACAGATGAGAAAAAGCATGTCATGATTTTGTTACTTTCAATGGCAAGCCTGTCAAAGAACCTAACTTATTCTCAGGTTGCATTAATAGAAGCACCAAGGAGGATAGGCTTCTCTGGAATATGCAAACCACAAGTGGAGAATATTGATCAGAAGAATGGAAAAGAAAAATGGTTAGGTTTTCAAAATATACATGCTCTCTCTGCTGCATACCCTAGATGGTGTTATTATCCTTGGGGTATGGGGAATCAGGGGAGGGCACATTTCCTTTGAAAAAGCTCTCAAGTGATTCTAAAGAGTTCTGTCCCCAGTCAGGAACTCTGACTAGACCCCCTAGAGATGGTAGCAAGAGAGGGTGGAAACATAACAAAAAGGGATGGGGGTAGACAAAGGGAGCATGAGAGATACCTTCCAATATTTATAAATCACTGGGGACAGATGTGCTATTCCATAGATCACAAAGGATAGAAATACAGCCCATAGTTGAGAGTCCAGAAAGTCATATTTCAGCTCAGGGGGGGGGGGGAAATCTTGAGGATGAAGGTGTTCATAGAGGAGTAGGTTGGCAAGGGATACCCTGCCCTCACCTATGTTCTAGCTCAGACCATGGGACAACTGGGAGTTCCTTGTGGATCCCGTCACAGTGCAGGGAGGAGAGCACTGTATTGGCTGAGCGGTCATTTTCCTCCCCAGTTCTGAGGTGCTACAGGCTCCATCAGATCTGAGTAAGGTCTCCCAAGCAGAACCAAGGGACAATCCTGTCCACAGTGTGGGTTCCCCTGCCCCCCCTAATGTGGTCCACATGAAGACTGGTTATTCCAGAGCTCATGAGCATGAGGATGAGATCCTGAGTATGGAGGCAGGCTGGCAGCTCTATGGCTGTGCCTCAGCTACTTGCACTGTCAGAGTTGGCCACCAAGCCAAACTGCTTGGGTTCGAATCCCAGGGTTGCCATGTCCTAGCTGGGGACCTGGGTCAAGTTTCAGGATTTCTCTGTGCCCTAGTGTCTTCACCAGTAAAGTAGGGATAACAGCCTCCATCCCGCTGGGTTATAAGGATTATTGTGTGAGTAGGCATGTCAGTAGACATGTGAAACATGCCCAGTGCTGAGGAAGGGTCGGTTATCCTCACTTCCTCTTCCCATCCAAAGGAGTCAGAGTGGGGGGGCCTCCCTGACACCCTGAGCTGAGTCCCTCTGCAAGGAAGGAAAGGTCCAAACTGCCCAAGATGCCCCTTCACCCCTTCAGAGCCACTGAGAGGACCATAAGCAGGAGCCATGGGGTGGAAGAATTGAGAGAGACTGACGCAACTGTAACTTTCTCTTCTTAGTCCTTAGGGGGTCATATTATAAGCCGGCATTGCTATTCGGACCTGAATCCAATTCTTGCTGTGGGCAATGCCACTCTCAATCTGCTGTCAGAAGGTAAGCGACCCCTGAACACTCTGCACACCACCTAGAGATTTAGTGTATTTTTCATGAATTTTTTTAGGGAATTACTTTTAGTCAAGGCCCAGGTTCCTGGCTGTCAATTCTCCATGGGGAGAACAGCTCATGGGGGACGGCACACTGATGTGAGGGGCAGCTGGAGCTTCCTTCTGACCCCCCACACAACATGTGTGCACACACAGTCCAGGACCACACCCACACTTAGCCTGGGTGTTAGCTCACTTATTTGTGCTTGGCCAGCAAGCACCAGGCGTGGCGTGTAAGGCTGGGGTGAGAGTAAGGTTGCAGTGAGCACCCTGCCTGTGCCCAGGGGACCACTCCTTGCTTCCTCCTCCTCACGGTCCTCCTCCACCAGCCCCCAGTCTGAGGCTCCCCACATTACACTCTTCCCCCTCAGGTGCTGTGTAAGAAGCCACGAGTCTGATGAGGAAACACAGCAGATGTTTCAAGGACATCATGGGTCCCTGGGGCGAGGGGGAAAGCAGTGATTGAGTCTAATTGCTGGCTGAGAGGAACAGTTCCTGGGGGAAGCTCCCTGCTAAACCCCCATCCCAGTTCCCCAGGTGCCCTGTGCACTCACACTGCCTCTGGCTGCCCCAAGGATTCTAACACCCCCTTGACTGGAGGCTATCTCCAGGCCTGGCTGTGTTGCACACTTGACACATCCCATCTCTGAACAATACACCTCCCAGCAGGAAAGATGGGATGTGGTCTCAGTCCATTTGTGCAGCTATAACAAAATACTGAGACTGAGTAATTTACAAAGAACAGAAACATATTTCTCACAGTTCTGAAGACTGAGAACCCAGTCTCCAACATTAAGTTGCTGACACCTGGGAGGGGCCTTCTTGCTGCATTTTCCCGTGGTAGAAGATAGAAAGGCAAAAGAGAGTAAAAAGGAGCCGAGCTCATTTTACCACCAATCCAACCCACGAATGTGCAGCCTACAGGCCCGATCATTTTTGTTGTTGTTGTTGTTCTTGTTAGTTATACATGACAGTAGAGTGCATTTTGACATATCATACATACCTGGAGTGTCATTTCCCATTCTTGTGATTGTACATGATGTAGTGTTACACTGGTTATGTATTCACATATGAACATAGGAAAAATATGTTCGATTCATTCTACTGTCTTTCCCCCTCCCTTCCCTTCATTCCCCTTTGTCTAATCCAAAGTATTTCTATTCATGCTCCCACCCCATTTATTGTGTGTTAGCATCTGCGTATCAGAGAGAACATGGCCTGATCATCTTTTAAGGGTCACATTTCCTGTTTTTGGGGAGGAGTTGATTTTTTGGCTTTTTTTTTTTTTTTTTTTTTTTTGGTGGCACTTGGGATCAGACATAGGGTCTGTGCATACAGTGTAAGTGCTCTGTCACTGCTATACCTACAGTCCAAGGGTCACATCTCTTAATATCCTTATAACGATAATTAAATTTCATGGACTATGTGAGTTTTGGAGGGGACATGCTTTCTGACCATGGTAGGTGTCACTCCTAGTCTGTCTGATTTCCCACTGAGTATGCACCCTCTCTTCCCTAGGCCATTCTGCCTTTCCCACAGGGCCTCCAGCTCTAGAACTCCCCTTCTGCTTCCCTCACCTACAACCTGTCAATACTCACTCACTCCCTCTGTCCCTCCCACTCACCCAGTGGGCCACTGACTAGCTGGCACCTCCTTGGTGCTGACAGTGCCCCAGGCATAGAGGAGTAGTCACAACCTCTGCCCATGTGGACTTCCAGTGTATGCCCACCCAGGCATGACATGCCTCCCTGAGGTTACTGCTGGCCAACATGGTTCTACCCCTCACTGCTGGGAATTCAGATGCGATGAGGAGAAGCTTGAGGACTAAAGACAAGCATTCATCCCCACATCACCCCATTTGTCTTTGAGGCCTGCAGTGAGGAAGGAGAGGTAGGGTATACCCTGTTGACCAAAGCCAGACTTTTTTCTGAGTGCCCCAGGTCTATGGTCTGAGATGACCCAGCTCAACCCCCAAAGATAAGAGAGAAGCCAAGACTCTGGGGCAGCCCAGTTACCATCCAGGGCCTTCTCCTACAGTGGTACTAACTGTTCTTCTACCTGGGTGTTCATTGTTGTCTTCAGCTTATGGCCTCTGCTTTCCTAGCTCAACCAAAACTGTCTCTGCCTCAGGGGTGGTAGGCCCTGCTCCAGGGAAGGTAGCAGATCAGCCCACTGAACCAGAAGCACGGCAGGTGGGCAGAGATCAACAGGGGCTCTCACGGTGTTCCCTGTCTCTCTCAATACACCTGCCTTCCAACCCACATAACACTAATGGTGCCAGGAATGGAACCCGTGTCCCTCCTGGGCTGCAATTTTGACCCCTTCTCAGCACATCCTTCAGTGCCATAAGCCAGATTTCCAAGCCAGAGGGCATGACTCTGATCACCAAAAGGTGACAGCTGAGCTGGAAGGAGCTTTTACACTCTGCTCATTTTTCTTCAGAGTTTTAGGTATCTGTCTCTGGAGCCAACAGCAGCAAGAACAAAAAGCAAAACCAATGATCTGAAGTCTGTTAATAATGGAAACAGCCCTGTATCTGCTTCAGTTAGGTCTATGCCCCTATCCTAAGCTGTGGCGGGTTCTATTTAGCCAGCCCCTGCTGAAAGACCAGACCATGTGCCTGGTAGGCCTGCGGCACAGGTGACCTCAGTGCTCAAAGGGAATGGGACCCTGGTGATGTGCTATAGACTCAGACCTCTGCCTCGCTCTGTGAAGAGAAAGGGGATCTTCTGTGCTCGCTGCCAACATTTAAAAGTGCAGAATAATCTTGCTTTTCTGGCTGTGACTGTGCAAAAAATATCATTTTCTTCCACAGAAGGTACACGGCAGATTCCTCTCAACGAACACTTTCTTGCTGGATTGGCAAGCGCAGGCCTTAAGCCAGAGGAGATTTTGGAATCTGTGTATATCCCTCACTCTCGAAAGGTAAGAATTCCCACTGCTGTTTTTAAGTTGTTTTTCCCTTTTCATAATGGACTCCAGTCATCTTTGGAAATCTGAAAACAAATGGAAGGAAAATAACTCTGTCCTGAAAACCTGGCTCCTGTCCCACTGTGGATTGGTTCAGCACCACGGCCCTCGGACAGCCTGGAGCCAATAGCTCCAGGGTGTGGATTTGAGGTTGTTTCAGCTGTTGGGTGCAGCCTGGCTGAGGACCTGAGTCAGGCTTCCATGCCCCTGCGTTCCCAGGGGTCAAGGCTGTGGAAAGGAGCTTCTCTACCTGACCCACAAGGAAATGGAGTCCAGAGCTCAGCCTCCGCATTCCTCACCCTTGCCAACCCCAACAGTTCGTAGAAGAATGAAGATCCCCAAATGTTTGCTAGCACAGGACCCTTGGAGTTGATGGGGCCACATAGGTGGCTGTGGAGGTGATCCCTGCCCTCACTCTCTGTTCCTTTACCTGTCCCCAAAGCTGTACCTAAATCCAAGAGGAGAGTCTTTCCAGAGAGAAGGGTACAAGACACACACACACACACACACACACACACACACACACACACAGACTCATAGCAATCTAAAACCAGGAGACAGGGCTGGGGATATAGCTCAGTGGTAGAGCCTAGAATGTTCAAGACTCTGGGTTCAATCTTAGCACAGAAAAAAAAATTAAATAAAAATAAAATCAGGAGGCAACTCAGTTTTAGAAGCTTTTGGAAGAGAAAAACAGGCAGACTCAAACATGAGCACCATTGGACCAGCACAGATGGAGAAGCCCTGCTGGGCACAGGCTGTCTTCATTGGCTTCACCTGGGCACACCAGCGTTCATGGCACCAAGGGGTCCACTGGGCAACCATCATCCCCTGCCCCTGCTCCTGATATAGGGTTCCCTAGTCCACAGCTGGAAAGCTCCACTCAGCTCCCCTTTGAGTTTTGCCAAATGAAAAAGTGATTTTTTTCCCTACCAAAAAAAAAAAAACCGAGTTGTGTCTCTTTGAATGTTACAAGCCCCAGTATTCTTAGGGCTTCTCTGTCCTCCTGGGAGACAAAGGCATCTGAAGCCTAGAGGGAGGAGCTCCTGCAGATCCAGCACAAGTTCATGTCCCTGATGCAAGTTTCTGCAGCATTCTGTGTAGAGCCATCCCAGGCTCAAAGGGAAAGTGCACAGAGACTCCTGATCCTTGAGGTGTCTGAGATAGGTCTTGGGAAGGACATTCTCACCTCGAACAAGAAGTCAGCCCGGTTGTCCTCCAATTGTGCTAAGTGTTGTCTGTGTCCTTTTTGAGTGATTCTAAATGATTTAGTAGAGGCACCAAGAAGCAGAAACCATGCTCTTCGTTCTGACTTATCCGATAACCCGAATTGATTTTTGTCTCCACAGTGGGAATTTGTGTTCGCCTTCCGTCAGGCTCAGTGCCTGCAAAATGCCTTGCCCGATGTCAATGCTGGCATGCGAGTCCTGTTCAAAGAAGGCACAGATACCATTGAGGACCTGAGCATTGCCTACGGAGGTGTAGGGACTGCTACAGTCAGTGCACATAAATCCTGCCAGCAGCTCCTCGGCAGGTAAGCAATGAGCCCTGCACCTTAAGGGTGAAACTTAACATTGAAAAAACAAGTGGAAATTTGGCATTGGCAAGTGTTGATAAAACTCTGGAAAGATGGAAACTCCTACTTATAAAATCACTGCTTGCTCCTTCTGTATTTTTGCTGAATAAATTAAACCTTACTTAACTTGGATTAATTGGATGCCACTCTTTGGGTAAGGGACACAACAAAAATAGCCCAGGCCCAAGTTCAGCCAGCAGGCAATTATTCCCGGTCTGGCTGTCATTGTCTTATGCAAATCAACATTCAGCAAGCCACAGCAGTGTCCAAGCAGCACCTCACACTTCTACAATGTGGCACACGCAATTTCTTCCTCAGCAAAGACAGTATCCAGTTCTGAATCCTGTTTGGTTCTTAATGGGACTGGCCTAAATGGTCTGTTTAGTACTTGTTTAGTTTAGTCTGTTTAGTTCTTCTATCTTCTAGCTCTGGAACTTTCTTGATTTATGTTGCAATGGAACAGGTCCCTTACTCACCCTGTCATGATAGTTGGGCCAATTGAAGCAGCCTCCCTAGGCCTCAATTTTCCATAGAGGTTGGATAAGGTGATATCTAAGTTTCCTTACAACTCTAAAAAGGAAATTCTGGGATCTCTAAAATGCCACCTTCTGGTATCTAGCATATGCCATGCAATAAAGACTGCCCTTTAACTGTCTCCTTCCTACCTCTGTGCTACCAGGCACTGGAATGAGCTGATGCTGGACGAGGCTTGCAGGTTGGTTCTGGATGAAGTCTCCCTCCCAGGCTCAGCTCCGGGTGGCAAGGTGGAGTTCAAGAGGACTCTAGTAGTCAGCTTCCTCTTCAAGTTCTACCTAAAGGTTTTGAAGGAACTGAAGATCCTAGTAAAACAGTTCTCTGTGCCTGTAAGTGCTCTAATGTATTTTGCTAGCCATCCTGTAACAAAGCACCACAGACTGGGTGAGTGGCTTAAACAACAGACATTTATTATCTCACCAATCTGGAGGCTTAGTCCTTGGTCAAGTTATCAGCAGGGTTGGTTCCTTCTGAGGACTGTGAGAGTTGTCTCTGTTCTCTTGCCTAGCTTCTGGCAGTGGCTGCAATCTCTGGGGTTTGTTTAGCTTGTAGGGGAACATCTCTAATCTGCCTTCACAAGACCTTCTGTCTACATGTCTGTGCCAAATTTTCCCCTACTGATAAGGACAGCAACCATATTAGACCAGGACCCATCCTCATGATCTCATTTTAACTTGATGACCTCTACAGTACACAGACTTTACCTTGTTTGGATAAGGTCAAATTCTGAGATACTGGGGATTAGGACTCCAACTTATAAATTTGGAAGGACAGACTTCAATACATGACATCTGGCTCTTATTAGCTCCTTGCAGCCATACACCCCCAGCTTCCCTACTGCTTTTGTTCACTGTCTTGTGGGCAGTCTATGCTACAACCTGTCACCTGTTCTGGGCCCATCCTGTTCCTGGGATTCAGCCCCAAAGTGCTACATGAGGCTCAGGGTACCAAACTATCTTCAGGCCACAGTTCACCGTGTTCCCATAGCACTCAGATATCTGGTGCTTCCTTTCTCCAGCAGCATACAGCTTTTTTCTTTTAAAATAAATTTGATTGGCCAGGCATGGCAGCACATGCCTGTAATCCCAGTGGCTCAGGAGGCTGAAGCAGGAGGATCAAGAGTTCAAAGCCAGCCTCAGCAAAAGCAAGGTGCTAAACAACTCAGTGAGACCCTGCCTCTAAGTAAAATACAAAATAGGGCTGGGAATGTGGCTTAGTGGTTGAGTGCCCCAAATAAAATAAAATTAAAATTAAAATACTTGGTTGATATATAATTTACCTCCAATAAAATTCATTGTTTAAATTCAGTGAATTTTGGCAATGTGTATACCTACATAGCCACCACCTCAAACTAAATATAGAATGTTAATTCCACCAGCCCAACCCAGCCCAGGCAGTCACTGATCTGCTTTGTGGCGCTATATATTCATTTTGCTTATTCTAGAATTGTGAATGCAACATAAAATGTAAAATAAAATGTTATTTTTCAAAAAGACCAAAACTGATCTGTTCCTGATGCCCACGATCAGATTAAATTTCTGCAAATTAAAAAAAAAGACCAAAATTGATGTATATTGTATACTATTATACTAATATTTAAGTAGCTTTCTAGATTTTCTGATTGTAAAATTCTGGGGAAAATTTTTACTTTTCTTTTTCTAGAATGAATTAAGCAAAGTATCCTTTCTCTTCTCCTCCTCCTTCTCCTTCCCATCCCCTGACCATAATTACAACTTTTTCCCATGATTACAACTCTCTCCCAACCCTGTACTCTGTTCCAGCCACCCTTACCCCAACAGCCCACTGTTCTAAAACATCTGTATTTCAATGACTCAGATGAAGACCTGCTATTTAATTTCTGAGTCAAGACACTTGACATGTTTCACTGATGCACGGAGCAACTTTCCCTATTCTGCTGTTGTCCCAGAAAAGCAATCAGGACTTGGGCCTTTTTTGTAGACAACAGCTTATTCTGGAATGGCTTATCCTGTCCAACATTTTCTCCCCACCACCCATAGCCTCTGCCCCAGCTCACCAGCTGGCCTCTCCCTCCAGGTGACAGGGAAACAGATTCAAACCAGTCAGGCCAGGTCCTTATTATGTGGGAAAGGACAAGGGTGTGGGGGTCATAAAAAGCGAAACCCTGGGGCTCACTGTGGACTTTGGTTATGTGAGAGTAACATTTGTCAAGTTACTCTCACATAAACCCAAACCCAACTTAATCTAGACTAACCAGCCTCTTTTCATTGTGCTGAATCATCGCAGGGCAGCAGTCGTTATCCGGAAATTTCAGATGGGTTCCTAAGTGCTCTGGAAGATTTCCCAGTCACAATACCCCAGGGAGTCCAAACATACCAGGTCCGTGAGTCTCATTTCACAGAAACCTAAACAGGAAAAGATAAGCTGGAATTGCACAAAATGAGCAAGTTTTTCAGAGTTGTGATTTTGAGTTTTGACTTTCCAGTGGTTCCTACGTCCAAGTCAGGGTGACTCTGGAATCCAAGCTCAGGCCTAAGCTGCCACTAGATGTACTTAAGGTTGACTGATCTACAGACTATAATTATAGTCTTTTCAAAGAGATGTTCTTTGGGCATTTGTTTCATATTTACTCAGAAGTGCAGCTGAGCAGAAGGTTCAACCTCTGGCCCTGATTGCAAAAGTTTAATCACCAATCAGCAAACAAGAGCCCTTCAGGTAACTGAACTCACTCTTCTGGAAGGACAATTTAACAATTATCCATTTTTACTGAAGCACAGTCCCTCCCCTACCCCTACACACACACACACACACACACACACACACACACACACACACACCTCTTCCCTGAGAACAGCTCCAGAATAAACTCTTAAATCTTTCTCTGTCTCCTTATACTCCTGCTGATGTCTTTGTGCCACTTCCAGGGGTGGCCAGGACATCGTAATCTGGATCTGGGGGACTCCATAACCAATCCCCTACCCTTTACCAGAGGCCATGAGGGCCAATACTCAGGCTTCTGACTTGGATTTTGGTCCCTCATTGGGAACTAAATCCCTATAGGCCTTATCTTGATTCTTTAAATGTGGACAGGTGGATCACTAGACCTGTGAGCAAGCAGAACAGGGAGACCGTCTAAAATGATGGCACCACAAAAGGAGAAGGTGGAGTGCCCCTTTACCTATTTCACTATTTTGCCAAAGGCTGGCCTGCCTATGGCATTGCCACATAACTGAATGACAATTCTCCAGTCTAGTTACAACACTAAGTTGTCACACTAGTCATCTGACCTGATCCAGTGCTCTTTGCCTGAGAGTACCACCCAGTTGCTCAGTCCTGAATCAGGAGTGCCTGTGATTGGCCAGGCCACTTGTGGAGATATAAGGTTTTTAGAGCAACCCTTGTCTTCCTCTACAGAAAGTGGATTCTCACCAACCTCTTCGAGATCCAGTTGGACGCCCCATCATGCACCTGTCAGGTCTTAAACATGCCACGGGGGAAGCCATATTTTGTGATGACATTCCCAGGGTGGATAAAGAACTTTTCATGGCTTTGGTGACCAGTACCAGGGCTCATGCAAAAATTATGTAAGTAAATCAAAAACTTTTTAAAAGCATAGCTAGGGATTCCTTCATAAGAACTCGCCTGTTTCTTCTACGATGTCATATACTCAAAGATCCTACAATGAAACAAATAAAGAAAAGGTCACAAGGCCCCAGAGGAGGAAGATTACTATCATAAAATAGAGATACAGTCAGTCATAGGCCTCTTGTTTCCTTCCTAACCTCACAAGACGTGTCCCTGCTGTAGCCTCAGACTGATCTCAAAGGAGTATCTCTGATGCAGGGCTGATATGCAGCTGGTGGAAAACATTGTAGCACACTTCATTATTCAACAATGACCAATATTCTAAGCTTCCAGAGAAGGTCCCTTGCCAGTCACACTGCCCCTCCCCTAGCACTTGTCACCCCCTACACACAACTGGAAGGTTACTCCCTAGCCCAGTAGGGGGATCCCCTGAACCCAACTCCATGGCAGGCCCATTCTGACTGATCAGGGTGAATTCACTGTTATATGTTCTTATTTTCAACCATGTTCTGTTATGGGGCAAGATGCTCAGAAAACACACCAAGTCCCAGCTTTGTCTGAATTGCAGAGTCTTTATTAGCTGGCCAGTGACTGCTCCCTGCAGGACCCCAAACTGTCTCTGCAAGGAACAGCCTCAAGCCTGAGGGTTTTAGGATATTTAGAGGCAAAAATCTTATCCAGGTTGGCATAGCTGCAAGCAAGCAGGGGTACAGAAGCTGAATTGAGCCATTAGGGAATGCAATGCCCATAATCATAATTTCATTTCTGGGTACATTGATATTTCCCACGGGACTTTGCATAATCATAAGAAGAAGAGAAGTGGGTCAAAATGACCTTAGTTGAGTACAAATTAAAGAATGGTTACTAATGTCTAGACAATCAATCTCTGACAAGGTCTGATGTCCAAGAAAACTGGGATCCAAAAGAGAAAAATTTTACATTCTATAAGAATTGCCATTTTATGTTGCCAAACATGCTATGCTAAGCAACTATTGATAGGTACAAAGACGGGAGTATTCCTATGGCAGAAGCATTTCTTTTATGACACGGAGTCTCAGGGTAAAATGAAATCCGTTTGGTCATTGCTCATATAGCCTGCCCATGAAAGGTTTGAAGCCCTCAAATCTTGCTGATTTCTACTTCTTAAATATCTCTTTATTTTCAGATCAATAGATTTCTCTGAGGCCCTTGAACTACCTGAGGTGGTTGATGTGATAACAGCTAAAGACATTCCAGGCACCAATGGTGGTGAAGATGACAAATTGTTGGCTGTAGATGAGGTGCGTATGGAACACACCTTCCCAGGTGATTTTGGGCAGATAACCACCAAGGTACCACCTTCAGCTGCCCCCAGCTCTTTCTACCAATGGGAGGTAGAAGTGCCACCCACTAGCTCCTCTTTATCTCTAACCTTGTTATTTAGCACTACTTTTCTGGAGTCAGGAAATAATTTAGCATAAGGAAATATTACAGTCAAAATTCAAGTACCATATGCTCTTGAGACCATTTACCCTCATCTGAAGACTAAATGTGGGGCTAGGGTTGTAGCTCAGAGGTACAGCGCTTGCCTAGCAAGTGTGAGGCACTGGGTTCGATCCTCAGCACCACATAAAAATAAATAAATGAAACAAAGGTATTTTGTCCATCTACAACTAAGAAAAAATATTTTTAAAAAGAGTAAATGCAAGAAAGTTTTCTATATCAGGATAGAATGCCCTAGAAAGATCTAGAAAAGAGAGCACCAGGGGCTGGGGTTGTGGCTTAGCGGTAGAGCACTCGCCTACCATGTGCGGGGTCCTGGGTTCAAACCTCAGTACCACATAAAAATAAATAAAATAAAGATATTGTGTCCAACTACAACTAATAAATAAATAAATAGAGAGCGAGCACCAAAAAACAACCACTCCCTCTAATTTTTTCTGAATTCCCTTCCTTCCTGAACCCGGGTCCCACCTTCCTTCACACACTCCATTTTTAATAAAGTTGCTCTTATTGTCTCTGACTTTTTTTTTCTTTTTTTATTGTAGTGATAGGGATTGAACCCAGGGCCTTGTGCTTGTGAGGCAGGCACTTTACTAACTGAGCTATATCCCCAGCCCTGTCTCTGACTTTTTAATTCAAAGTTAACAATTATTTATTGAGCACTTGACTTTGGGACCAGAAAGTCTAGGTTCCTGTTCCAGCCCTTCCACTCCATAGCTGTGTGCCCTTGGGTTTCATGATCTGTAAAGAGGAAATGAGCATAGCACCCACTTCACTGTGTAGTTGTAAGATTTAAATGAGTTAATACATTTAAAGTGCTTTGGACAGTGACTGGCATAATGAAGGCTCTAGTGTTAGGTATTACTGTCATCTCTCAATGAGACCCAAACAATTTCTCCTCCAGCCATGGAGGTTGTTCTTTTAGTTGAACTCCAGCTGAAAAGGTTGGCTGTCTAGAACTATGTTAGTCTGCTTGGGTTACCATAATAAAATTCCACAGCTGGGAGGCTTAAACAACAGAAGTCTAGAGGCTTCCTCTCCCAAGTCTAGAGGCTAAGTCCAACATAAAGGTGTTGGCAGGTTGGGTTTCTCCTGAGGACTCTGCCCAGCTTACAGAAGGTAATTTTTTTCAGTGAATCCTCACAGGCATGCCTTTTCTCAAGAGCATTCCATTCTCAAGGGTGTATCTTCCTCTTCTTATAAAGACACCAGTCATATTTTAGTAGGGTTCTGCCCTATGACCTCATTCAACCTTCATTACCTTTGTCAAAGTCCTATCTCCAAATACAGTCACATGGGGTGGGGGTGGGATAGGGCTTCAACATGTAAATTTTCCAGGGCAGAGATGTGGGGGGAGAGGTTACAATTCAGTCTACTATAGTAGTCACATTGAACAAAAAATATTTTGCTTATCCTTAAACTCTAAAGTAACATCTGTGAAAGAGATACATGTGAACCAAGCACAACAGAGGACACAGTAGATTCAGTTCACAATCAATCTCACATCTACTCTGGGACTTATATTCACTGAGCAAAATAGCAAATGGAGCTGTCTATATTATTTAAATTTTACATTAGAAGTTTTTAGAAGTTTGAGCCAAACACATATAGTTGAATGAGTCCAATGTGGTTATTATTGCTCAAAAATGACATCTAAGATACCAGGCATTGGTGAAGTAGAGCTGCCTATTCCTGCCCTAATGTTCTATCTGCTTTATGCATGTACTTTCCACAGGTACTTTGCGTGGGCCAGGTTATCTGTGCTGTAGTTGCAGAGACAGATATACAAGCAAAGCAGGCAATTGAAAAGATAAAGATTACCTATGAGGATCTGGAACCTGTAATCTTCACCATAGAGGTAAGCAGGGCTGGCAGGTCTCACACTAAGATTTTAGAATCAAAAGTGCCTTTGTAAATATCTTAATGTGCAATACTGATTTAGGAATTTTGGAGAGGAGGGGGATTGGCTTTCCCTGGAAAAGTAAGTTTTCTCTGGAAAATATTACTTGTATGAACTGAAATTATCTTTGACTCCAAGGAACATTTTTTAAAAAAAATCTCAGTGTACAAGTTTTTGTCTCACATTCAAAAAGTCTAGCAGTGGTTTGTCCAGGGCTTATGTGGTATCTTAATCTGTTTTGTGCTGCCACAACAGAAATCCTAAGATGGGTAATTTATAATGAATAGAAATGTGTTTTTCATGGTTCTGGAGTCTGGGAAGTCCATGACTAGGTGGTTGCATATGGTGCTTCATCATCCCATGGCAGAAGGTAGAAGGTCAATAGAGGGTGCATGTTCATGTGTGAGAGAGAGAGAGCAAGAGAAGGCCAAACTTGCTTTTATAACAAACCCCCTCTCTTCTTGATAAAGAACCTTCTCATAATAACCGCATCAACTCATTCAAGAAAATAGAGCCCTCGTGACCTGATCAACTCTTTAATTTGAAGTGCCTGTCTCACAAGACTATTGTATTAGGGATCTGGTCTCCAACACATGGACTGTGGGGGACATATTTAAGCCATGCATATGGGTTCTTGTGTCAGGGATCCAGCCTCCTTCTACCTAGTCCCTCTGTATGCATGGTTTCCATTCTTCAGGTCACCTCTGGTCCTCAATGGCTACTGAAGTTCTGGCCATTAAACCCACATTCCAAACAACAGAGAGAATGAAGTAATGGGGACAGAAATACCCCCTCTCTTTCAGGACACTTCACAGTTATAAATGCCTAATTATATTTCATTGATTAGAACCTAGTCACGTGCCACACCTACCTTCAAGGGGAGATGGAAAATGTAGATTTTATTCCATGTGGCCATGTATCCCCTAAAAATTGGGGATTCTATTACTTGTGGAAGATAATGAGAATGGATATTGAGAAAAATAATGTTTCCAAGGTGGAGCCCAAAAGTAGTGAGAAATTTATGGTGGAATTTCATGGAAATTTTACACTCTCAATTGGAGTCTATATAATGGACTTCAGATGATATTTCCAGGAAAGCGAATGGAGAACACAATTCAAGTGAGGATGGGTATGTTAGCTCACTTTTCATTGTTGTAATAAATACCTGAGATAATCAACTTATAAAGAGAAATGGTTAATTTTGGCTCACAGTGTCAGACCAATTCATAGTCAATTGGCCCCGTTGCTTTGGGGCCTATGGTGAGGTAGTATTTCATGGCAGCAGTACATGGTAGAGCAAAACTTGTGGCTGAGACAGGAAGAAGAGAAAGAGGAAGGGACTACAGTCCCACAGCCCCCTTCAATGACACACCCCCAGTGACCTAAAACCTTCCACTAGGCCCCACTTCCTCAAGTTTCCACCACCAAGCCTCTGGGGTACATTCTAGATCTCAACTGCAGCAGCTAGGATTTGCAAGTTCTAAGAGACAGGTTCAGAACTAATTTGTTTGTGTGCTTATGACAGGTCATAAAAAGTATTGAAGACCCTAGTGAATCATTTGAGCATTTTAAAATGTTCCTAAAAGGTACAAATTGCTCAATATTCAAATAACTTTTAAAAAGTATTTCTTAATATTTCTAAACCAAATTAACTCTGCTCCAAATTCCCATTTGCCAAGTTGGCAAAGAGTCTAGGCCATTTTTCTTGGCTCACTCGCTTTCCCCAGGTTGTCCTAGGATCTTATTACGGGTTTTTGAAATTTCAAATTGAACCCCATTTTTACCAAGGGTGAAATTGCACCCAGAGGATACACCATGAAATTTTCTGAGATTCAGAGTGTATAGGGATCTAGAGTTTCCTCAATAGGATGATCCAGAATCAGGAAATAATTCTTTTGTGACCAAAAGCAGGTGATAAGAGTCATATATACCAATACTGATTCATCCATCTATTAATTTGTTTATTTATATGAATCTGTCTTACACAACAAACACAAGGTGGTGTAGAGTAGTGGTTAAAAGGACAAGTGCAAGAACCAAACTGGGAAAATTGAATCAAGGCTGTACTACTTACTAGCTGTGTAACCTTAGGCAAGTTACTTAATATCTCTATGCCAGTTTCTTCATCTGTAATCTGGTGGTAATAATAATATGTCTCATCATAAAACAAAATGAGTTCATATGTACAAAGTGCTCAGAACAGTGCCTGGCTCATAATTAGCACTCACTAAAAACAGCATTTGTAAGAAAATTATATGCCTTGATCTCATTGAGTTAGAGCCTGCAAATCTCAGTTACTATTTACAATATGGAAATAAACATCCCTGTACATGCAGAGAGTGATTTATTGAGATCTCAGTATAGCATAACATGAAATTTTCAACTATATGATTTGGTTTTTGTGGCTTTAAGAAATCAGGTGTTCATTATGAGGCAAGATGTTTCTGACAACTGAGCCTGGGCTTGAACACTGCCTCCCTCACTTCTTTGCAGCATGACTTTGAGAAAGTTATTTTCACCTCTCTAAGCCCAGTCTCTTTGTCTAGAAAATCAAGATAATCATGAAATTAATGTGAGAAGACATGTAAATATACTGTTATTGTTCAGTGCATGGTGCAAATGTTATCACTGTTATCATCATTAGCAAGAAAGGCTGTGACTCCTAGGTTTGGGGAGTCTAAGAAGGTAGCAGAGGAGTGTCCTTCTGAAGTAATGGAAGACAGCTGGGATCCACAGGTTAAGTAAGGATCACCTGCTGGTAGGTCAGTCCATGGAATGGAATGGCATCCAGTCTTCATGTGTGAATCAGTTCATCTTATTGTCATCACCAAAACAAAACAAAACAAACAACACACACCATGGAACAAAGAACTGGGAAGGCTCTTGTGATATATCCCAGATACTCAAAGAAATGAACAAACTTTCTGTATTATTTTCAAGATGTCTTGCCCCAGGATGTGTAAGGACCTGCCTATTGTGCCTCAACACAGCCTCAATTTTTCAGATTCTTGAGTTAGGGGTTCTTGCATGTGAGCCTAGTCTAATATCAGTGGTTTTTCTCAAGGAGAAGGTGAAAAAAGGGAACAGAAACTCACTTATAGTCATTGGGACTTATTGCCTGTTCCCTGGAGATCCACATTAAAAATGAGGAATGAGCATTTATCATCCTGGACCATCCTACTGCCCCCAGACCTCAATTCTCAGTATCCTTCTTAACATTTCACTAATTCTTGCTGGTTTTCTCTGCAAATCTGGAAGACAATCCTTTTGACATCCCTCTCTACAGTGGCCTGCTGCTCCAGTACTTGCTTACTTGACACCTTTCATACATCCCAGGAGACAGTGATTTGGGGGAGTATAGTAACTTTCATTAGAGGGAAAAAAAAAACAGCTGATGGAAGAAAAAAGTAGGACTAACTGGCTTTTGTGATTTCCCCTGTTACACAGGATGCCATAAAACACAATTCATTCCTATGCCCTGAAAAAAAACTTGAGCAAGGAAACATTAAGGAGGCATTTGAAAAAGTGGATCAAATTGTTGAAGGTAAGCAACTCAGGATAGCTAGTAGAATTTTGCCTGATTGAATACTGAACAATACCTCAAGAGCATGTAATTTCTCACCAAAGAGATCATCCTCCAAAATCTTGGGGCTCTGTTGAATTTACACCTCTTCCTTTCAAATTATGTGTGGGATAGGGAGATAGATTAATTGGTAGAGTACTTGCTTCGAATGCTCAGGACCATGGATTCAATCCCCAGCACCATCATCAAAAAAAAAAAAAAAAAATCAAATTGTGTGTATGTGTGTGTGTGTGTTGTATTTGGGAGGTAAGCAGCAGAATAAATAGAAGAAAAATCCCTAAGATTGTGATTAGTTAAGGGTAGAGTAAGGAACAGAAGCTGACACATTTAACTTCCACAACTGTTATCTCCAGTTGCTATAAGACACATGCCTGATTCCTTAGTCAGAGCAAATGCAAACTAGTCAGTCCATGTCTTACTTGATTTTGAATTCCCCAAGATGGTGGCCTCCAGGCAGCATACACCTTCAGAAGTTGTCCTGTGCTTGTGCTTAATAGGAGAGGTCCACGTTGGAGGACAGGAACACTTTTACATGGAAACACAAAGAGTGCTTGTTATTCCAAAGACAGAGGACAAAGAACTGGACATTTATGTGTCCACACAGGATCCAGCCCACGTGCAGGTAAGATCAAGGGTCTTCCCCATCTCCCCACCTTCGTAATTCCATCATGGCGGGCAATCCCCACAGCTCCATAGTTGATAACCATTTACCTACAAAACTTTAGAATCCAAGTATTGAACACCTGTAAAGCAGCTTAGACCTCAGAATGTTTTTATTATTTTTTCTGGCATTATCAAGTAATAAAAAGAAGAGCCATGGTCACTTTAGTCTATTTCCATTCGGCTTAGATGAATTCTCAGATTGGATGACACCACTAAATTATTTTTTCTCTAAAATAATCATTACAGATAATCTTTAGAGTCAGCACATTACCTTACAGAACATTTTTTTTTTACTTCCCCAGCCACAATGTGCTCTAGGGTTTAGTTGCATACATACCAGGAATTTGCTGGTTTTCACCACTGTGGGACTTTAGGTCTAGGCATTTGACTTGGAATCCAACTTAGAACAAGAATCCAGGGGTGTGACAGTTTCCCTTCTGGTAAATTCCATTTTTTTCTGGAAGAACTATTCTGTGAAGATTAATGAACTAAGCAGAGCTCCATAAGACAAATTTGGACTATCCACTTTTTTACCAAAGGTAGATGTGAACATATTCTGCTGTGATGTTGTGTTTCCGGAAACAAAACAATTCTTTGCCATTTCCCTCTTAGAAATCTTCCTGTTATCTCACTTTTACAGAAAACAGTGTCCTCTACTCTAAACATCCCCATCAACAGGATCACCTGCCATGTCAAACGAGTGGGTGGAGGTTTTGGAGGGAAGGTGGGAAGGCCATCTGTGTTTGGGGCAATTGCAGCAGTGGGTGCTGTCAAGTAAGTATGCTAGAGGACACAGAGGGTACAGAATGTAGAGTCACTTTGGCTTCTGTCATAGTCACTGTCATAGTCCTGGCAATTCAGTCTCTGTTTATAAAATGTAGATATTAATACTTATCCTCCCACTCTTCTTCATTTATTTTGGCTGTTCTTCAGTACTGAGGGTTGAACCTAGAATCTTATGCATTCTATGTAAGCACTTTCCCACTGATCTACATCACCAACCTTTTTCTTTTCTCTATTTTATTTTTTGAAAGACAGTCTTGCTATGTTGCTCAGGTTGTTTGCACACTCCTGGCCTCAAGTCATCCCAAGTAGCTAGGACTATAGGTACGCAGCACCATGCTCAGCCTTCCCACCCTTCTAGAGTTACTGCAAAAGTCAAATATATCCAGGACTTTGAATAAGTTAATATGCTTTAAATAGATAAAGTGGTCTTATTGGATGAATACCTCCAGAGCTGGGGCTGCCCATTCTTGAGCTTCAGAGAAGGTGACCTACAGGTAGAACATGGCACTCTGTCCAAATGGATTATTCTCTGGCTTTCCTTTCTACTCTCAACCCCAGAACAGTTTGGATTGAGGAAAGAACCACCCCGCCCCCCATCCTCAGCCTCACTGCATGTGGGAAGTACCACCCCCTCAAACTGTTTATCTCAGTGGACAGATGACTTGTCCTCAAAGAGAGCTCCTAGGGGCTGGGAGTGTAGCTCAGTGGTAGAGTGCTTGCCTAGTACATGCAAGACCCTGCGTTCCATCTCCATCATGGGAAAAAAAGGAAGGAGTGGGTGGTTCCTGAGCTAACTGCTGCAATGGAAAACTCACCAATTCACTTGCCATTCATGCCTCAACATTCATGTATGATAGGTGCTGGCTTTTCTGTTATTCATTCATTTTCTATGGCTGTTTCTTTGGTATTTTGTCAGAGGCTTCATCAATCTGTAATGTCCCCAGATACTGCTTCCTTTGACAACCTCCGTGTAGTTCAGAGCATGTGTCTTAGTCTGCAGGTGGGAAAACCAGGATCTGAACCTCATCTTCATTCTTTCCATATCTAACCCCTCTCTATCTCAACCACAAGGGATCCAAGTGATTAAGAGAGAATCAGTTCTTTGTGTTCTCACAAGGCCTTGGGCCTTTCAGAGTTCTCAAATGTGACTGCACATTGGAGTTACATGGGGAACATTTAAATCCCAGCACCTGCACTTTCCATCACCAACCAAGGGATTGGAATATTCCAAAACTTCCCCAGTGGTTCCATTGTGCAGCCAAGTGTGGGAACCTGTGCCTTAAAATACAACCCTGCCTTCACAAACAACTGCCATACATTACGTGACCCACCCTCCCCCCGACACCTGGAACAGTGTTCCCAAACCTCCTGGGTATTAAAAGTCTCCTGAGATTGTAGAAGTTCCTGCCTCCCCATGCCAGCCCCACTGATTCAGAATTACTAGACAATGAACCTGGAATCTTTACATTTAACTGATGTTTTTATAGTACTGTTGTTAACTTTGCGTTTATCTGTTCAAGCTCTCTCCTTTATAACTAGCTGCAGAGAGATGCATAATAATGGGATCTGGGTGAGGATCACACTTGAAGGTCAATTTGAAGCCATAAAAATGCAACTTAACTGTCATGTGACATTAATCCCTTTAGTTAGATTTTCTCACACTGAATTATCGATCACAGAGACAATAGTCATTTAGTCATACATTAATTCACATCAATGTCTAGCACATGCAGCATGCAATTCATAGATCTTTATGGGATGGATAGAGAGACAGTTAAATGAATGGCATAAATGAGTGGGAAGGTGGATAGTGGATGAATAGGTAAATGAATGGATAGATGGATATGGGAAGATAAATAAGGGTTGCGTAAATACGTAGGTGGATAGGTGAAGGAGTAGATGGAGGGGTGAGTGGAGGGTTGGGTGGGTGGGATGGATGGGGAATTTGACCCAAGATTTTTTTTTTTTAGAACTGGCCATCCCATTCGTCTTGTTCTTGATCGTGAAGATGACATGTTAATAACTGGAGGGAGGCACCCGTTATTTGGAAAATATAAAGTAAGTCTGAAAGATCAAATTATTAAAAATAATTCCTTTTACTTGAATAGTTTTCTTCTTTTTGTACTAATTTTGATTTTGTAAAAACAATCTTATTGTCTAAAATATTAATGAAGATGCTATATATTTGCATATTCATAGCATTTCGTGGTGAACTTTTAACAAATCTGGTTTAATAATGAAAATATAATTTGAAGCAATGATAAAAACACTACTTAAGGAATAAGATTTTATATTAGTAGCTCCTTAAAGAAAAAAAAATAGGACTGGGCGGTATTCAGAGCTAGTGCTTGCCTAGCATGCACAAGGCCCTGGGTTCAATCCCTAGCCCCACAAAATACAAAAACATGAGGTATGGTAGTGCACAACTATAATTTTGGCTACTCAGGAGCCTGATACAGGAATATCACAAGCTCACGGCCAGCCTCAGCAACTTAGAGAGACTCTGACCAAAACAAAAAATTTAAAAAGGGCCAGGGATATAGCTCAGTGGTTGAGTGCCCCTGGGTTCAATACACAGAACTGGAAGGGGAAAACAAAACTCAAGATACAAACATTGTTACACCAAAACTTCTTGAATGTAAAAATATTATTTTATAGTAGAAATGTTTGGAAACATTTGGTCATTTTAACTGCAAAATCATTTTTTATGAAAGTTTCCACTAAGTGACCATAAAAGTGTCACAAAACCTCTTTGCAGATGAAAAAAAAACAATTGGATTTAAAATTGTAAAGCCAGGAGCAAAGGCACATGCCTGTTGTTACAGCTACTTGAGTGGCTGATGTGGGAGGAGAGCTTGAGTCCAGAAATTCAAAACCAGCCTGAATAACATAAAAAGATCTCATCTTTAAAAAAAATACTTCTACTGCATTAACTGCATTTTTATGCAACTGTAGTATAAACACTATTAAAATTATTTGCTGGCATCTAGTTGACAATGCCACTTTTCAAGTTTGTAATTGAGCAGGGCACCATGGTACACACCTGTAATGCCAGCAGCTTGGGAGGCTGAGGCAGGAGGATCATGAGTTCAGAGCCAGCCTCAACAAATTAGCAAAGCCTTCAGCAACTCAGTGAAAGACCCTGTCTCTAAATAAAATATAAAAAGGGATGGAGAAGTGGTTCAGTGGTTAAGCGCCCCTGGGTTCCATCTATGGTACCCCCCGCCCCCCAAAAAAAAACCACCTTGAAAAAATTTGTGATTGAGCTGTCAGAATAGTTCTAATGTAATACAAAGCGTTACAGACATTTTTATCTGGGTATTGCTTGTGGCATACACACAGTTAGATTCCCTATCTGACTTTGTCATTCCCTTAGATTATTGCAGTATCCATACTACTAAAATCACAGCTTCCCATTCCACAACGCTATTTTATTTCTTCTGTTGGCATTAGTAATTTTTATAATTAGAGAGAAAGGAACTGTGGTTGGCCATTAAATTTTTTATTTACCTTCAAATGCACAGAAATTAATAGTCACAGCTATTATTATCTTCTAGGACCAAGAGCAATTAGAGGCTAACTGCTGGAATTGTGGCAGTTACTATTGTTAGGATGGATCTTGTGTTTTTTGTTTTGGCCTGGATTATATATTAGCCTTTATGTCATGGTTATGAGACTGATTCAGTAATAATACTTATTAAAGAAGTTCTGAATTGTTAACATTTTGGTAATTATCATAATACAAAATATAATTAAAAAGAGAGAAGTAAACTTTTTGAAAAATCCAAATTTTATCTTACTTTTAAAGAAATATAATGTCACTTCCAATATAATAATATATATAATATATTATAAAATATAATAATATATATGCATACATAGGTATAAACATATCCTCATTCAGACTTGCTAATTATGTTTTGCTTGGTTATTCAGAACTGGTTGTAAATTAGCATAATAGATATTTTGCATAAATAATTATTTCCGAAATTCTTGAAAGGTTTATCCTAAACAGTTGAAGAATTCTTTCTGCTGCCTTATACAGAGTGCTATTTGGCTTAGCAATTCTCATGAAAAGTCAAAATCAAACTTCAGTCTAGAATTTGTCAAAACTATCATACATTTTGAATTTGTGGGTTTTCCTATAGTTCTTAACTGCTCTGTGGTCTATTATTTGATATCTTTCTTGCAATAGATGATGAGAGCCATACAGTTATATAGTTTCTTCAGGTGTATTATCTTTGTTTTCAGAAGGGCAAAGGGACCAGGGCCAGTCATCTTTTGGTAATACCAGAATAGAGGGTGGGGATTTTTCTTTTCATTCATCTTATCCAAACAAGATGGCCCAAGTGGGTAGGAGGGAGGGGAATAGCAACATCAGAAACCTATGATCTGCCTTAAGCTCCTCCCAGACAGTTACAGGAGCACTGGCTCACATTCTCTAGGTCCTGTAACCATCTACAAAGCGCCTTCCCTGCCTAGGGAATTGAGAGTAGCTATTGCTGCACATCCAATCGTTGACCTCAGTTCTACAGTCTGTTCCGTAATGAGAGACCCTGTGATTCATCCCAGGACATTTTGGAATCTCAGAGACTTTTCCACAAGGAGAAAACCACAGACTAAATTAAAAAGAAAGCCAGTAAAAAGTGAAGGAGAATCTCCCGAGAGTAAGGAAGACAAGAGTGGCAATTGCACACTGAAAGACAAGCAAAAACTTTTGAAGCACAGAAAATTACATGTTGAGTGAAGAGGGCTCAGCAAAATTCAGATCCAAAGAGTTCTTCATCAATCAAACTCAAAAACAAAGGAATAGCAAGGCATGGTACACAACAGAATGAACAGGGAGCAAAGTCTGTCCCCAGTTGTGCTCAGTAGGGGAACTTGGCTATGGACTGCTCTTGGCATGTTAATTTTAAACCTATCAGTAAAATGTCCATCATTTGGTGACAGGTGGGATTCATGAACAATGGGCGGATCAAAGCTCTAGACATTGAGTGCTATATTAACGGAGGATGCACACTGGATGACTCAGAGCTGGTATGTGTATCAAAAAATAATCATGTTGGGCTGGGGATGTGGCTCAAGCGGTAGTGCGCTCACCTGGCATGCGTGCGGCCCAGATTCGATCCTCAACACCACTTACAAACAAAGATGTTGTGTCCGCCGAGAACTAACTAACTAAATAAATAAATATTAAAAAAATAATAATAATCATGTTGGGCTGGGGATATAGCAAAAAACTTCGGCTGCGGTGGTGCATCCCTGTTAATCCCAGCAGCTTGGGAGACTGAGGCAGGAGAATCTAGAGCTCAATGCCAGTCTCAGCAACTTGGCAAGGCCCTAAGCTACTCAGTGAGACCCTGTCTTTAAATAAAGTATAAAAAGGGGCTGAGGATGTGGCTTAGTGGTTAAGTGCCCCTGGTAGCATTAAAAAAAAAAAAAACTAACCACATCCTTAATTGTGAAAAGAGTGCAAAATTTCCAGATGAGTGTTTACTCATTGTACTTGATTTTTAGAGAAAAGGAGGGGGAGGCAGGATGTGATGGCCAATAAATGTGAATATCTCCTTCTACTTTAGGTAACAGAATTTCTTATACTAAAGCTGGAAAATGCATATAAAATCCGCAACCTCAGATTCCGGGGCCGTGCATGCATGACAAATTTGCCATCCAATACAGCTTTTCGTGGGTTTGGCTTCCCACAAGGAACCTTGGTGACAGAATCTTGCATCACAGCTGTAGCAGCCAAATGTGGCCTCCCGCCAGAAATGGTAGGAATGTAATCAGGTCATAACCAAGGTTGGTGAAGAGTTAGACCAGGGTGCAAATTGGCTACCTTGTCCCAAGGAAATGAACTAGAAAAAACAAACAAATGAGTCCTGGCTCAGCATTCAATAAATTAAGAGATACCTACAAGAACTCATCTCCTCCTATCTTCTTCCCTCCTAAGGCAAAAATTTCTCTTTTTCTTTTTTTTTTAATTTATATACAAATAATTACTCACAAAATATTCAAACCACACTGAAATAATCAAAGTAAAAAGTGAACATCTTCTTTCTCATCCCTCATTCCTGTTGGTCAAAGGTAACTATTATTAAGAGTCCCATGTTTACTTTTTTATCTTTACCCATCCATTTGTATTCATATACATATATATATATATATATATATATATATATATATATATATATATTGACATACTCTCTATATATGTGCACATAGTTACTTACCGAAATGGAACCATAATATATATATCATTCTATACATTTATTTTTCTACCTGACAATATGTCATGGTCATCTTACCATGTCAGTGGAATGATCTATTCTTTTTTTTTCATGACTTTGTAATATGATACACCTTTACGTTGTTACTCGTTTTGGTTATCAAAATCATGTTGCAATAAACATCTTGATTACATATGTACCAAGGGTGTATTTTACCCCGTTGTGTAGGTGTATCTAGGATAAACTAAACTTATAGAAATGGACTTCTGGTGCACTGAAAAGCTTCTGAGAGATACTGCCAAATGAATACCCTCTAAAATTATTATTTTATGTAATATACTAGAAAGCACACAGGTTGTACAGTATACTAGAACAGGGAGAGGCAGCCTCAGTAATTGGGGTAATTGTTGATAATGCTCTTCTACTTCTCACACATTCCAATCAGACCCTAGTCTACTTTTTCCACTTCCAGCCTTTCTGCAATATAGACCCTCTGTACCAGCAAGGACTCTCTAGGCATTGTTTCTTGAACTTCTTTATCCCTAAATTCAACAGGGACCTCCAGGTTTATAATTTGTGATTGTCGAGGAGATTGACAAGGGTCTCCACACAAAAGAACACCTCATATTGTACCAGGGAAACAATAGATTTCTTAAGAGACATCAGGTAAATGTACCATGGGCACAAAGGAAGAAGACATCACAGTGGCTTGAAGGGAGAGGAATCAGGAAGAACTTTCTGGAGAAGATGGCACTTGAGATTGGCCTTGAGGAACAATAGGCACAAGTGGTGGGAAGGTAATCTAGGCAAGTGGAACCCCAAGAACAAAGAGAGTCACTCGTTGTGGCTCAGTTTCCTTATCCATAAGATGAAGACAAGATGACTTACCTCAATAGTGCTCCTGCAGAATCGAATAAATTCACATTCATTAAAATATTTGTTCTCATTAAGTACATAGTATTATTCCAGTGTTGTTGCTGATAACAACACAGTAATCCTTTTATTGTTATTGGAACAAGATGGGGATAATGAAAAACCCCTGGGTATTTCTCAATAGACTTTTTTCTTTGAGTGTTCCAAGTTCCCAAGCTATAAAACACACCCTATTCAAATAAATTCTTTAAAAAACTTGACCATACATTCCAAAGGCAATTGGAAAACTTAGAGGAGATTCTCTGTCATTATATACAAATATACTCCTCTGTAGCAGAACAAATCCTCAGTTATGACACTAAATCTTGGTTTTAATATACTGTCTATCAGCTCTGCTTCATCCTCTGAACCTTGTGGGAAAAAAAGAAAAATCTGCTTCCCTAGGCCTAGGGCATGGCATTATCCACTGCCTGCCACTTCTGGGGATAGGGGAGCTACCTTAAAAGATGCATTAATGAAGAGATTTAAAAAATTGTTTTTACAGCACCGCATGCTATTCAAAGAAAACAAGAAAAAAAAATGACCTTCCCCCTACCAAAGTTTGTAGTTTAATGGAAAGACTTTTTAAGTGTGTTTGGTGGTCAGTGTCTGTCTTACCACAACTACTGACTGTATTTCCCATCTCCTTCAGATTAGGGAGAAAAACATGTATAAAACAGTTGATAAAACCATCTACAAACAAGCATTCAGCCCTGAGACCCTGATAAGATGTTGGAACGAATGTCTGGAAAGGTCTTCCTTTTACAGCAGAAGAATGCAAGTGGAAGAGTTCAACAAGAAGAACTACTGGAAGAAGAAAGGCATTGCTATTATCCCCATGAAGTTCTCTGTGGGCTTTGCTGCAACAAGCTTTCATCAGGTAAGTCACCCTCCTGGCAGAACACTCCTGGCCCCGTTGCCTCCCACTACTCAGAAAGGAACAGGAACCCACAACAGCTGCTGTGCTTTCTGAGCTCAAGGATCTCAGGGAACAGGGTGGGGGAAAATAGGCTACTCCTGATCTGTATACCCAGAGACCGCAACACTCCTTGGTGTCCTGCTAAGTCTTCGGCAGAGAAGTCATTCCATTTTGCTCTACTAGCTGGCAGTTTCCTCTCTAAAGAATCTGTCAGTTCTGGTGGGGAAATGGGAGTGGGCATTAGAAATCTTCCAAGGTAAATATGCAAATGGAAGAGGCAAGTCATTCACCAGCCAAAGGAAAGAGGAAGGTCAGCATGCAGATGAGTCACTTAAATAATGTGAGGACTGGGACGGACAAGTCTTCCCTGTATCCCAATGAGTCATGGGCAGGAAGGCTGTTAGAAAACTGGGAATGGTTGTTATGCCATTACGGACCACCAAAATTAGAAAACCCAGCAACTGGGAAAAATCTTACACACATTAGATCTCCTTGTGTGTATGTCAAAGCAAGTTATTTAACCTCTCTGAATCTCAGCTTCCTCCATCATAAAATGTTATAATAACAATCTCTCTCTTCAGACTGATGAGGATTCTGTGAAATATGGAACGCAGAGCACTTGGCAGGGTTCCTGGAACACTAGAAGTCACCCAGGACAGCCCTAAGCCCCTCTCCAGGACAGCCCAGAGGGACTTCCCAGGGTTCTTGCTCCTATGGGTAGGATGAGATGCCCTGGGCTTCTGAGTCACATTTCTCTTCCAGGGCAAGGTACCTTTTCTATAAATAGAGGAAGTTTAACTAACAGGTCTGCAAGCTGGACTAGATTAATGGCTGGGACCCCAGACAGCTGCCTGAATGGTTTCTTTCTGACACCAAATATTCTGTCTTTCCTAAACCAACTCTCCAACACCAACTGGGAGGGACACAGGGTACTTGTGCCTTCTGGGGGTTCACCAGCCCAGAATCCCCCCACCTGGACAGGTGGGAAGGGCTGAAGGATGCTCACACTCACGCACACTCACATGCACACACCAGTTCCCCTCATCCTAAAGTCACCTATGCATCCATGAGTTATCTTATTAACAGACAAAAGACAATCCTTCCCCCATGCCCCGCCCCATGTGTCTCTTCATTCAGCTCTCCCTGAGTTGTATCTTTTATAATGAATTGGTAAGCACCATAAGGAATGTGCTTTCCTGAGTTCTTTGTTCCAGAAAATGACCAAAACTGAGCAGGTCTAGTGAAAATCCCAAATCAACTGTCAGCAGGAAGACTGTGAATAGTCTGGCACCCCATTTGACCTTGGTGTCTGAAATGAGTGAAGTCTCCTGGGACAACAACACATTCCAGGGTTTTAGAAGCTCTATACCAAGAACCAACTACAAAGACTAAATAATAATTTTTTGTTCTATCACACCTCTCTTCACCTAGATGTTCACTTCTCACTAAACCACAGCCTCACTGCTCTCATCCATGGGAGCCAACTCCTCATCTCACCAAAAAAAAAAAAAAAAAAAAAAAATTAAATCAAGCAATGACTTTTAATCTCCTTTTGAAAGGCCTTGTCTTCCCCTCAGTTCTAAATTGATGCACCAGGAACCAAGGCTAGGAGTGGAGAGGTGTTATTTCAGGTCAGCTGATGACTCACAATGTAGGATCAGATCCCTTACTCTCTACTGACAGTGAGAACAGTGTTCTCAGAGGGAGTCAAAGACCCACAGTGGGGAAAGACTGTTATTAGCGCCTACACACCTTGGCATTCCCCGCCCCTCCAAGCCTTCCTGGGGCCTTCAGGCATCTCCAGACAGGAATGGGCTGAAATCTTAATCCCTCCTTCTTCCACCTTACCATCCATTTACTCTGCAAACTTTTGTATAGTGTCTCTGTGATTCAGATCTGCTCAAGTTTCTCCATAGGACACAAAGGCGCACAGGATCAGGGGCTCTTTCTTGGCAGAGTTTGTTACCTCTTGTTTTAGTCCTTGAACACTATTTATGCCACAAAGTAGGTAGATTAAAACAACAAATTTGTTCTCTCACAGTTTGAGAAACTGAAAGTCCAAAATCAAAGTATCAGCAGGTCTCTCCCCTTCTGGATTCTGGGAAGACTCCTTCCTTGCCTCTTCCAGCCTCTGGTGGCTCCTGTTGCTGCTTGGCTCATGGCAGCATAACTCCAATGATCAACTCGTCTCTCCATAGGCACCTTCCCTGGTGTCTTCACATGGTCTTATCAGGACACCTGTCATTAGAGACCACTCTCATTTAGTCCAGCTTCATCTTAACTAATTATATCAGCAAAGACTGTTTCCAAATAAGGTTACATTGGAGGTGCTACATGAATGGCAGTGGTTGGAGTAGTGGCAGGGAGACAGGAACACTATTCAACCCAATACTTCTGGTAAGAGGAACTACAGAGAAGGGGCGGATTGATCTTTTCCAGATGGGATGAAAAGCATTCAGGGGAATGTTAACAGAACAGAGGCTGTGGGTATAAGTCTGGAGTCTGAGCAGACAGGGAAAGATCAGGAGGAGGAGCAAGTCAGGAATAGAGAACAGCATAAGTAAGAGTCTAGGTCAGAGAGGAACAGCAGTGGGGCAAGGGAAGGGATGAAGCTGGAAAAAAGCAACAAAAACAGAACCAAAGGGCTTTATGTTGTAATAGGAGCAGGGTGTTCCCTCACAGGCAATAGGGAGATTTTGCCTACCTTGTCCACTGGCAAACCCTTCTCTCCTTCCTGACTCCATTCAGTTGTCACTTCAGAGATTCCAACCCTGAGCAGCATGGGAGAAGTTGGACCTGTCTGCTGAGGTCTCCCAGGGCCCCTATATCTCAGTGTGTCACTGATCATGGTATACTATGATGCCTGGATTCTACCCTGTCTCCCCACTTTGTTGTGAACTACTTGAAGAAGAACCACGTCATATTCCTTTTCATATGTGTAGAGCTGATAAAGTATTAAATTCATTTGCTTTATGGTCTGTGTTATCTCTGTTCTCAGATTAGCAGGAGCAAGCTCTTTATAAACAGGGACTTTAAGCAGGAGCCAACTTTCAAACATTTGGAACCAATACTCACAACTCCTGAGGTTTCCAAAAGGGTTCTGACTGCCCGGGTTCCTAAACTGTTTTACAAGTGACTTTTTGCACAAACCAGAAGTAAACTTGAGAATTGTACCAGAAAACCCTGCCTCTCTGACCCTCAATGCTCTGTGAGATGTATTTCCCCACCTGATTTTTTTTTCTTTTTTCTTTTTTTTTTTTTTTTTTGAGGGGGATACTGGGAATTGAACTCAGGCCACTGAACCACATCCCCAGCCCTATTTTGTATTTTATTTAGAGACAGGGTCTCACTGAGTTGCTTAGTGCCTCGCTTTTGCTGAGGCTGGCTTTGAAATCTCAATCCTCCTGCCTCAACCTCCTGAGCCACTGAGATTACAGGCATGTGCCACAGCACCCAGCTCCCCACCTCATGTCTTACATTAAACTTCCTGAGTGCCACGTTGCACTGAGCTGTGCCTTCTGGATTGTTTTATAGGCAGCTGCACTTGTTCATATCTACACAGATGGGTCTGTATTGGTCACACATGGAGGCAACGAACTGGGACAAGGGATTCATACCAAAATGCTGCAGGTAAAATAAGTGTAATTAAATCAATAATTTCTATCACATTGTTGACATGACTGAAATTTGGGTAAATGATGATTCAAACTCTAAGACCCTGACTATTCAGTTGAAAGGCTTCTTACATACAAAATACAGTTATTGAGGTGGCAGAAATCCCATATGTGTGTAATACTGCTCCAGGGCATAGGGATGGAGGCGGTTGTTAGTGAAGATGCCACTCATGAGCCCATAGAGCGTATGGAGGGTGTTCCATGCTGGTTTACCAAGAGGAGGAGTTTTTCAGGTATTCTATTTTAAGACCAGTAGGTATAATTTTTTATTTCACACAACAATGTTAGGTTGCTGGCATTTTATTTGAAGAGCAAGTATTTCGTCAACTATCATCCTATATTTTTAAAGGATATGTTAATATATACACATACATGGAAACTAGGAAGAATATCTTAGAAGAATAAAAGAATAATCCCCTATATTGAATACATTTAACCTTGTGACAAATGTATTAGATTGTTACAGTGCACATTTAGAACTTTTCATTATCAGAATATTTTCATTTTCAAAATATTAGAACCACATTTTACATGGTTCTAAAGTACTCCTCAGTTCAGTTTCCTTTTAACCCCATCGTCCTCCTTGCTCCCACAACTGCCACTGATATAGCTGCAAGATCTGGGCCTAACCAATTCCAAACTCCACCTGCTGCAGGAAGAGAGGGAGTGACTCATGCAAGCCAATCAGTGTCCCAGACAGGTAGATGCTAGAGATTATGCTGTAGGCCCGGAGTGGCTGGCAATTCTGTGCCATGTAAAAAGCCTATCTACTGTTGTAAGGAAAATGTAGAAAAAAATAATAATAATACTGCAAGAGGCCAAGAGAACTTAAAAGAACATAAAGTTCCTACCTGCAGACATAACCTGACACTAGCTCCATCTGTCCTTCTCAGTTGAATGAACCAGTACATTCTTTTTGGATTTTCACAGCTAAGAAACAATGATATTTTCTTTTCTTTTTTTTTTCTTAATGTTGCATCTTTGTGGGGAAACTCAATAGTTAGTGGCCTTAATTAAAAGATTGGAATTTGGGGACAAGAACAGATACATACCTACAGACATCTTGAGAAGGTGTTTTTGCAAAAATAAACAAACACACAAAAAAAAGATGACAGCAGCCAAAATAGTGCTTTTTTTTCTTCCTACCTCTCTCCTTTCCATTTCTTTGCTCCTCTTTTTTTTTTCATTTCTTTCTGATTAAATATCTTAACTTCTACATGTATTTCCTAGAGAAGCTAGAAGAAAACAAACAGAAAAAAAGACTACAAAGAGCAATACTAGAGAAGTATAAACAAGAGGGAACAAATAGAAGAAAAAAAGGAGTAAACTAAAGTTAAGATGAGATGAGGCAAGAAAGAAGACCTCACGGTCTTTCCAAGTTCATCTAAGACTGACACCAACAGACTTCAGAGCAAATTTTGAGTCAATGAATCTAATTAATCTCTATCTATTCATCATCTGTCTCAATTTCTTCCTATCACTCCAACAAATAAGTTCCTGAAAATCTCAACTTTAATGTTCTAAAGGCAGAAATTTGAAAAGAAAAAGCACTTTAACATATTATCAAGACAAAAAAAAACCCTTAAAAAACAGAGTAAGGTACTACTGAAAAGTTATTTTAATGCATGCATTAAATTAAATTAATGCATGCATGCATATTTAAAAGTTATTTAAAAACATATTAGCTTAGGTTTTTAAAGTCTATCATGAATGTAATTTTTCATTATTAAGGAAAAGTAATTAATTAAGTCTTCATAGAAATCCCTGTGGACTTGAAAATATTTCCCTTTCCCATAGGTGGCCAGCCGTGAATTAAAAGTCCCCATGTCTTATCTGCACATCTGTGAAACAAGCACAGCAACGGTGCCTAATACAATTGCAACAGCAGCGTCCATCGGTGCAGATGTCAATGGCAGAGCTGTGCAGGTGATCTCTCCTGTCTTTCCCAGTGTGCTTTCCCCAAATCTCCTGTTTTCTTAGCTGGATAAAGGTATAGCAGTTAGCTTCAGAGAAATCATCCGGGTCGCTAACATGATCATAGGATAACCAAAATGTCAAGAGAGTGTATCAGGATGTCAAGTGCTGTCTGATTCACAAGTCCTCAAATGCTCAAATAAACTCTTCAATATAAAAATTTTTAAAAAGAGAGAGTATATTACTTGGAGTGAGCTAACATGAGGTGAAAAATTGATGCAGAATATAATGGCTCAAACACAACAGAAATCCTTTTCTTGCATACATATCAGTCCAGAGGGAGCATTTGGTCATTCACGTGCCCACATGTGATAGTGGCTCCTTCATCTGCAACAAGGGGCTTTCAAGGTAGCCTTGAGCCCCATCACTCCAATATGCAAGGAAGGGCCCATGAGGAAGACTCCAGGCCAGACCTGGAAGAGATGCAAGTCACTTCCACTCATAATCTATAAGCAGAACTAGTCTTGGACCATATCTAACTGCAAGGGGGGTTGGGAAATGTAGAGTAGTGGCAAACCATATGCATAGGTACCTTGGAAGGAGGGAGAAAGAATTTTGGTGAACAGGGAATCTCTGTTGCTGGAAGACACAAAAGAAATTTCAGTACCAAGAAAAACGGAGCTGTGCTAGTTTCCCCTGGCACAAGCAAGTTCTTATAGGCAGGCAGGCAGGTCAGCCAAACCCCAGCCAAGCACATATGGTACAGGTATAGTGTTATAATCAGTGTGGTTCTACCAGAGTACTCAGCTTTCCTTTGTACTTATTTTCTAATTGATGTCTTTAACAAGCACTAAATTTGCACTATTTCAGAATAAAATCATGACTTCCTAATCTCTAATTCAAATATCTGATTGCATATACTTTTCAAATTTTTATTTATTTATTTATTGGTACCAGGGATTGAACTCTGGGGCCCTTGACCACTGAGCCACATCCCTAGCCTTATTTTGTATTTATTACTGTCTCACTGAGTTGCTTAGCATCTCACTTTTGCTGAGGCTGTCTTTAAACTCTCCATCCTCCAGCCTCAGCCTCTTGAGCGCTACCGAGCTCAGCTGATTGCATATACTTTTGAAGTAAAAGATACTGTATTCATAAAGTTTCTGTTACAAACTATTCACTTTTCCATTAGAACATTATTAGAGACATATCTCCTGCCCCCCGCCCCCACCCCGCCACTTTGGACACTGAATAGATGCCGCCCAGAAGCACTGATTTCCAATCAGTCTTACCTATATGGTGACATATAAAAGGGTAAAAAAGCAAGAACTCTATTTTGCTCAGAACAAATTTGTGAAAACCCTCAAATTCATCAGATCCAGTTTGGGGTAGAATCCAATCTAGGAGGGAAACAGGTCGGTGTGTATGGGAGTTGTCAACTCAAACTAAATGTTAATCTATCTTCCTGCATATTGAGTTTCAGGTTTCTATTTTAAGGATTAGAAATTTTGTGGATCTAGGTTATTATAGGTCAAGTTTCTTATGTTCTCATTTCAAATCCAAAGCCAAGGCCTTCATTGTAGCAATTTGATGGTAAGTGAATGAACAGATGGAAGAATGAACAGAGAATTCAGTGTTTCAGACCTGGAGGGTCATTAGCATGTCATTGCTTCAGACTGAAGAGCACAAATTTGAAGGAAAATGAAATGTTTATTCCATTTATTTTAATTGCTGGAAAATGCAAAAGAAAGTATAGAATAAAAATGTAAAAAAGCAGAAGAAGGAATTAAAAATCTGATTCATCTAAGAAAGAAGATCTGGAAATATAAATTCAGTAGAACCCATATTTTCACAGGAAGTGTATCATGAAGAGGGGAAAAAAACCTCCAGTAACAGATACTTAAGAGCAGGGGCTGTGTTATCTCTGTTCTCAGATTAGCAGGAGCAAGCTCTTTATAAACATTTTCTGACCAAATGAATGATCAATGAATAGTCTTTCACACAAACCCTAACCAGTAGGCTCTTTCCTAATGTGGATTTTCTTCTTTATTTATTTTCTTGTTTAATTTTTTAATTTGTTCTAATTAGTTATATATGAGAGTAGAATGCATTTTTACACATTGTACACAAATGGAACATGGCTGAACATGGTCCAGAGTCACACTGTTTGTGTAATCATACACATATATAGGGTAATAATGTCCATCTCATTCTACCATCCATCCCATACCCACACCCTTTCCCTTCCCTCACTCCCCTCTGCTCAATCCAAAGTTCATTTATTCTTCCCTACCTGGCCCCAGCCATTATGGATCAGCATCTGCTTATCAGAGAAAACATTCAGCCTTTGGTTTTTGAAGATTGGCTTATTTTGCTTAGCATGATATTCTCCAGCTCCATCCATTTATGGCAAATGCCGTAATTTCATTCTTCTTTAAGGTTGAATAATATTCATTGTGTATATATACCACATTTTCTTTATCCATTCATCTGTTGAAGGGCATGTAGGTTGGTTCCATAGTTTAGCTATAGTGAATTGAGCTGCTATAAACATTGATGTGGCTGTCTTCTTTATTTCTTTAAGAATGCTTGTCAGATCCTTCTGAAACGCCTTGAGCCAATCATTAAGAAAAATCCAGAAGGCACATGGGAAAACTGGGTAAGTGTTCCTCTGCATTTGTTATTACAAATGAGGAAATAATCGGAAGCAGTGCTTAGAGAGTGTCACAGCAGCGCACAGTCAGTCTACATAGGACAGTTTCTCTAAGTCTCTGTCACAGTGCTACAGCATGCTTCTTCCCCTGAGAAAGTTATTCTCCAATTGAGTGGATTTCTGTGAAAGGGCAGAAAGATTGAGAAAGGCATGCCAGGATGCCTGCCATGTTGTACCGAGAGTGTGCACAGGAAATAGCAGTCACCGGGAAAAGAAAGGGAAGTGAATGAAGAATACTCAGAGGACTTTACCCATTCTACCTAAGTAGAAAAGGAGAAGAAAATCTGAGCCTTCTTAAGTCAAAGATATTGATAGTTTGAGTAGGGAGGAAGAAAACTAAAAGGCCTCGTTACTATTGAATATGTCTCAAGATAAATGACTCACTTAATCCAACCTCACAATATCTGACATCTGTTTTCATTAGAACAATTATCTCATACTTATGTACATATACTTACTAGAATTTTAACACTTAGAAATGAAGCCCAAATAACTTGTGAATTTAGCCCATATAATATGAATATGAAGCAGGTTTCAAGTTTACCTTTGTTTAGTACAAACTTCTAAACTCAATCAGAATAAATATACCACCAGTGAAACGCCACATCATGTACAACCACAAGAATGGGATCCTAATTAGAATAAGTTATATTCCATCTATGTATAATATATCAAAATGCATTCCACTGTCATGTATATCTAAAAAGAACAAACAAAATTAAAAAAAAATAAATAAATTTAAGAAAAGAAACTCAATCAGAGAGAAATTGTCATGATGCCAGCCGAGGGTAAATTACTATGAAAAGTATACTATTAAGGGCAAAGCACCAGCAACAATCTGATGTCAATTTTGATAATATAGAATTTTTTTCATCTTTACTTATCAAATGGTATATCTACTTCATTTTGACTACATATGCCCATTCTGCAGATAGAAGCAGCCTTTGAGCAAAGAATCAGTCTCTCAGCCACTGGATACTTCAGGTAAAAATTAAAGTATCTTTTTTTTAAGTTTTTTAAATTGTTAATAGATCTTTGTTTTACTTATTTATTTATATGTGGTGCTGAGAATCGAACCCAATGCCTCACACATGCTAGGTTGGTGTGCTACCGCTGAGCCCCAGCCCAAGCCTTAAAATTAAAGTATCTTAACTCAGCTAAGAAAATTTAAGGTAACCCAGTTGCTCTAGGCCTAAATTCTCTCATCTGTAATTAAGATTTTATTGTATGGTTGCTGAAGGTCTTCTAAACTCAAAATTCTGTGATTTCACATAGGCCTTGATTTATCTTTAAAGAAATATTTAATAATAAAAATATGTTAGGCCTAACAAACTCAATTTGACTTATCTAATTATTATTTACTATATCCTTTATTGTGAGTAATAGGAATATTTTATCATTAGAAATAACTTGCAACTGAGTTGCACAAACCTCCCTTTCTTTATGATGGAAACTTTCTCTTTTGGAGTTCCTAACAGGGCAGAAGATGATGGGCAAGGTGATAATCATAATCATCATTTATGCAGTGTCTGTCAGTGGAGAGAGTCTTGGTAAATGCAAGCCAATTGAATAGAACAAAGAGAACTGGTAGTCACTTTCAAGAAGTGAAGAGCTGAAGGTGGGGGTGGGGTGTAACTCAGTGGGAGAGCACTTCTGGGTTCCATTCCAGCACCACAAAAAAAAAAAAAAAAAAGAAGTAGAAGCCTTTGCTTTTATAATCTGATGAAATAAACCATCAAATTACGCATGCACACACAAATGAAATAGCAAAGCAATGTCATTGGGGGGAAATAGGCAACAGCCTGGCGCAGTGCACATATGCAATGAGTTCCAAATTCCTGAGTTCATCTACCCAGGAAGACAACAATCCAGCCCTCAGTCTGAATACACATTCCAGCATAAATTAAAACTCTGAATTACTGGGGCTGGGGCTGGGGCTGGGGCTGAGCAGTAGCACACTCGCTTGGCATGTGTGAGGTACTGGGTTCGTTTCTCAGCACCACATTTAAATAAATAAATAAAGGTCTATCAACAAATTTAAAAAATTAAAAAAAAAAAAAACCTCGGAATTACTGGCCCCACTTTTTCTTTTCTTTCTTTCTTTCTTTTTTTTTAAACCAGGCTGAGTTATCATCTGTCCCCTATGACTTTGGGTAGCACAGTCTGTAGGTCCCACTGGAAACACTTGATTAAAATCCATTGAGATTCCCAATGTACTGGCAGGGCTTGAGCTCAAACTTCAGATTTCAACATGGAGATCCATTGTGAGGTCCAGGCCAAAAGAGTCCATTGGCTTCTCCCTTGGTGACATCTACCTGTGTAGCACAGGGAGTAAAATGAGGCAAAGGATAACCAGGTAGGTTGTAAACACAGAGTAGCAATTTCAGTGGGCTTGATGGTACACTCCTGTAATCCCAGCAGCTCAGGAGGCTGAAGCAAGAGAATTGCTAGTTTGAGGCCAGCCTCATATATTTATCAAGGCCTTAAGCAACTTAGTGATACCCTGTCTCACAATAAAAAATAAAAAGGGCTGGAGATGTGATTCTAGCTAAATGTACCTGGGTTCAATTCCTGGTTTTAAAACAAACAGACAAACAAACAAAAAAGCCAGTTTAAATGAACATCCATCAAATAAAATACTATTATAAAACTTTGATAATTTTTAAAATGAATCATTATTGTTTTCACCTTCCACTCCCAAGCTAAAGGGTTTTATTTCTTCCCTCAGAGGCTACAAGGCCTTCATGGACTGGGAGAAGGGGGAGGGAGACCCATTTCCATACTATGTTTATGGAGTTGCCTGTTCTGAAGTTGAAATTGATTGCCTGACTGGTGCTCACAAGGTAAGTCAAGTCTAATATTCTTCTTGACAAGTAAAATCAACAACAAAATTGCATTTTACAGTAAATAGCTCAATATTATTATATAACACTCAGATAAGAAAAATAAGATTTTTTTTTTTCAGTTCATCTGGGCATAGTGGATATGCACCTGTAATCTTAGCTACTGGGGAAGCTGAGGTAGGAGGATTGCAAGTTCAAGGCCAGACTGGACAACTTACCAAGACCCTGTATCAAAAAGAAAGAAAAGAATAGAAAAATAAGTGTCAAGATTCTTTCAATTCCATTGGAATGTCCAGAGATCCAGCCTTGTCTTGTAATTTCCTCTTAAAAAGACCATTTAATGGTCAAGAAGGAATTTTTCATGACAGTCCAAATTTGACTAATGTATTAAATATATTTATTCACTTTCAGCAAAAAATCATTTTCCAAAGTTTTATCCAAAAGCTTCTATTTCTTGAGGAGGTACAAGTTCTCTCATCTGAAGAGATAAGGCATTTAGCAAATAGTCTTGAGCAAATGTCTTGAAAGCACAAAGCAAGGGGCTAATGTTTCTTAAAGTCCATTTTCCCAAGGGTACCACCTACCTTTAAAGAAAAACTTGGGAGAAGGAAGGTGTGAAAATATTTTTCATGTTTGTCATTTAATTGAGCATTAGAGAAACTTATTAGAGACAGAGTTGCATTTAACCCAAAGTTAACAACTTACACCCTCAGAATACCACAGGTACCATTCCAGGAACAGAGATTATAGAAGCTTTAAATAGAAGATAGTACAATGAAAATGTGTTAAATTGTTAGAAAGTTTATGGGATGCACCAATGACACTTACACTTTTAAATTCCATGTACAAAAAAATAAAAAGCACTGGGGATGTAGCTCAGGAATAAAGTGGCCTGGATTCAATCCCCAGTACAAAAAAAATTAAATTAATTTTATACACAAATTATTCCAACAAAACCTTTTGGCAACCTTGCCCAAAAATAGAAATGACTAATTTATGTAGAATAGAAAGGGCTTTGCAAATACTAACATGAAAATATATCAAAATGTCTTTTACTGTCCCATTTTGGTTAATTTCTCCACCAATTTAAATATTATATGAATTTTTTAAATACAGTAAATCAAATAAATTTATGAAATAAAAAATTTAAAAATACAGTGAATGAAGGGCCATCTGGAAAGCAGTCGCCTTCACATTCCATTCAAGGATATCCTCAGGGTATGTTAATATCGTGTCTCCATTTTTATTCTAGATCATTTTTAAGAAGCAAACTCATGTGATCACAGATTGCTCATCTGATTGTGCTTCCTACCGTCTTTCACATCATGGCACACTTAGATAATTATATTAGCACAGCACATTGCAGCATGTGACTAACCTGGGGAGCCCTGCTCTAGGGTCCTTCAAAGCCCAGATGTCAGTATTTCTGCATACCTGTACCCCAATTTGATGGAGAGCTGTTTTTTAGGTACACACCAGTTTTCAGACACCATACTCTGATAGTTATGTTGCCATATTTAGCAAACAAAAAAAAGACCACCCAGTTAATTTGAATTTCAACTAAATAACAAATAATTTTCTGTATCCCATGCAACATTCAGGCCATTTTATCTGTCAATTCTTTCTGAGGCTCTCAGAATAAATCTCTAAAGAAACAAACCACATGAAGATCTTCCAGAATTTATGGTGCCAAAAAAGTTAAAATGTGTTCTTCCTTCTTCTTTCCAGCTTACATTTATAATTAAAGGTTCAATAATTTCAGTATCACTTTGATCCCTTAAAATAATTGATTCCTTGAAGATGCAAAACTTCCTTTAATTAAAGAGAATTCAGAAAAAGCAAATGAAGGTGTACTGCTGCCAGTTATAAGGCATGCCTATTGCTGCTGTGTTTGTGGTTAGTGTACTAACGCAGGCCACTGATTCAGTGTTGGTGCACAGTCATCTCTTTCCCTGTCCAACTCCCATAATGCAAAGCATATCGGGTTTCAAGACAGAAGTAAATTGAAGGCCCACACTGAGGTATAGCCTATTCCCTTCCCTCTCCTTGCTGAGGATAGATAAAGGCTGGTCCCAATGCCTGAGAGGCCAAGGTTAGAGTCAAAAGGAATGCCAAACCCAGAAGGCTAGATAGGAAGTAGGAGAACAGGTATTAAACTCAAACAGAGAATGACATTACCTGAATAAGGACTGGAAACAGGGGCAGAAGGAAACCCCAGAGGTATTCCTGAGACACTTGGGAGCCCCTTGTGACTCTCTAACAACCTGCATGCACATACCCTGTGCCAAAACAGAAGGGCCAGATTAATGTGCTGTTTCTCAGAGTAGAAAGCAGACTAGCAAAGTCTAGGTTGGCCTCAACATTTTCCTTTGATACCTTCCTAGATCTTGCAAGCCCCCTAACTCATACATGACATCATGGCTACATGATTTCCTCAGTCAAATGGCAATAATGCCACCTTCATCAGATAATCATGAGGACTAGATGAGCTCATGAATTACATTACAACGATAAATCCAGGTTGAAATTAGATGCACAACCAAGCTCAATTATTCACTAAGTGACTCACTTAAACACACCAACATGCTGTAGACTTTGTAGTCCCTTAAGAGGAGTCAAAACCATGAAAAGATCTTCCAGGGTCACTGCCAGTCCTGGTACTCAGTTTGAAGAGCTTAGCAGATGTCTTGCCAGCTCCAATGTTGACAGAGTTCAGTGCAGTGTTAATTCACCAGCTGGAGTTTGGGAATAACTGGAGACTGTCTGAATAAACTTGAAAATTGTATTTTTTAATACAAGTTTTTATGGGGAGATCATTTTTATTTTGGGCAGAAAACCAGGACGGACATTGTCATGGATGCCTGTTGCAGCCTAAATCCGGCCATTGATATTGGGCAGGTAGGTGCTGGCCCACTTAAAGAGATATCCCTTCCTGAGCACAGTTGTGGTGCAGAGAAAGGCCTTCATAAAAGGCTGCAATGCCACAAAGCTTGAAATTATCCCCCTGCAGATTGAAGGTGCGTTTATTCAGGGAATGGGCCTTTATACAACTGAAGAGCTGCAGTATTCTCCAGAAGGTGTCCTGTACTCACGGAGCTCAGATGAGTACAAAATTCCAACCATCACGGATGTCCCAGAGGAGTTCAATGTCTCCCTCTTGCCATCATCACAAACCCCACTGACCATCTATTCCTCCAAGGTAAGCATTCAAAACTACCACGGATCCAGTAATATAGCCAAAGTAAGTCAGTGGACAAAATAACACATAAATGTTAATTGTTACATAGACCAAACCACATGGAGTTGAATCAACCAGGAAAAACTGAGATTCAGGGAAGATGAATGATCCACCCAGTGGCGATCATGGCCAAGGAGTTTATTAATATCCTCTCTTATTGAAAACTTCAGGATTCATCAAAAAGCTTTGCCTTCTTCAGAGAATAGTGGTTTTGTTAAAAAAAAAAAAAAACCCTTTAAGACTACAAAATTAAGTGGGATTGAAGGCATAGTGCTACTGAAATCTCAGAAAACCATGGTATTCTGGACAGAATTCTAGACAGGGGCCTCAGAAGACCTGGGTTCCTGCCCAACTCCACCACCCCCTATGGTAAGTCACTCACCTCTGTGGGGCTCAGTCCTCAACCACACCCAGAAATGAATTAAGAACAGTGGATATCAATGTGTGTGTCTATGGGAAAGTGATTTTATCACAAAAGAACACTGGCAATGTCTAGAGACATTATGGTTGTCAAGACTGGGGGTGGAGGGATTTTACTGACAGTGGGCAGAAGCCAGGGTTGCAAATAAACAGTTCCAAATCAAAATATTATCTGACTCCAAATGTCAATCGTGTCAGGAGTCAAAGTCATGAGCCAGCCCTTAATGTGGCTAACATAATGAAATTGCAAATTAAAATTAAGGTCAAGATTGTTTGCATTGCAAATTATGTGAAAAACTCCCTCAGAAGAGAAACTTCACTGAGATCTAAGATGTTTTGTAAAGCTTTCTTTAAAGTATTTTGGGAGATGATTTGCTAGGAGTGGTGAATTGACTTAAAAAAAAGAAAGAAAGAAAGTACAAATATATCTATAGGAATTACATCATTTCCAAACTGGATCCCACTTTGAGCCCAGGAATGTCCTCTGGGTATATGGAGATGAGGCCAGGGCAAATCTGAAAGGGAGAGAATCAAAGGGGCTTCAGAGTCTCATTAGAGTGGAAATCACTGCAGGGGGCAAAAGCAAAAGGCTGCTCAGAGCCCACAGAGCATCTTTCAGACCAAGAGTTTATAAGGCAGCTGGGAAACTCTTGAGTACTCGTGGTTGTGGCCAACCACTCCCAGGAGGACCCAAGAAAATCATGGGTTTGGTCCTCTGCTGAGTGTTCTATGTAATTACAAAGGACCCCCAGGTACCAGCCCCAGCACTGTGTTCTGAATTTACTCATCCCTCACAGCATCCCATAAGGTAGACATCACTGCCTGCGTCTCATTGACAAAGGAAGAGAGGCTTTGAGAGATGATCTCATCTACCTAGAGAAACAGAGGATACAGCCTAGGATTCAGACTCAGTCTCTCTAACTGGGAAATTGCAAATTGATAACCCACTGACTGAACTTTGCCCAAAGATGTGAAATACGAATACCTAGTTGGCTGTGGTGGTACATCCTGCATCTCAGGAGGCTGAAGCAGGAGAATCCAAGTTAGAGGCCAGCCTGGGAAACTTAGCAAGACCCTGTTTCAAAAACTAAAAAGGGTTGAGGACATGGTTCAGTGGGAGAACACCCCTGGGTTCAATCCAGTACCACAAAAACAAAACAAAACAAATACAAATACCAAAAATTGGATGGTCTGGTAATTTCAACTACCTTCCTGGAAGACAACAGTTAGCAGAACCAAGGAACAGTGGCCCCCTTTAGATAAGTACCTCCACTTCACCACCACCCCCACTACTCCTTATTGTCCTTCAGCTGCTCACTTCACTCACTTGCATCACCTGCCTGTTCCTTGCAGACTGAAGTTTATAAACTCTCTTAAGTGCTCCAGAGCACCCTGCCTCCTCAGATCCTGGAATCATAATTAGGTATTTTTTTCTCTGCTTATGAATTTGGCCAGTTCAATCCATTAAATGATCTTTACTAAATAGGTTCCCCACCCCCACCTTTGTTCTTAGAGAACAAAGGCTTAACACAGCCAAGATAAAAGATCTAAGAAGTTTAGGTAATACTGGGATTTTAAAAAGTACTCAAGCTTCATTTTATCAATAAGTCAATCAACAAACATTCATGGAAAACCAATTTGTGCAAGGCTCTATGTCATGAGTTGAGGATATAATGGTGAACAAGACCTGGCTCTGCCCTCTAGTAGCTAAAGTCTAAATTTCTAAAATAAATGTGCTTTTTTTCAGGGCCTCGGGGAGTCTGGAATGTTCCTGGGGTCATCTGTGTTCTTTGCCATCATGGATGCAGTGGCTGCAGCGCGCAGAGAAAGAGATGCAGCTGAGGACTTCACGGTGAAGAGCCCAGCCACGCCAGAACAAGTTCGAATGGCTTGTGCCGATCGGTTCACAGAAATGGTATGGAATTATTATCTATTTTCCTAAAACACGATTTTTCTATTTTGTGCTTCTTGGACCTCTGGAGTAGATTTATGACCTTATCTATGTCTAGCTAATCAAACTATAAAATGATAAAAACAAATCACACAAATAAATACTGTATATATGAAGTACTTTTTAAAAAAAGCATCTCCCCATGTGTTATTTAATTTAACCATCTCAGCAGCCCTGAAGTAAGATCATTTGTCATGCTTCCAAAACTAATAACTAGCTGGGGGTGGTGGCTCACACCTGTAATCCCAATGACTCGAAAGGCTGAGGCAGGAGGATATGGAGTTTGTCAGCCTCAGCAAAAACAAGATGCTAAGCAACTCAGGGAGACCCTGTATCTAAATGAAATACAAAATAGAGCTGGAGATGTGGCTCAGTGTTTGAGTATCCCTGAGTTCAGTCCCTGGTACCTACCCCAAAATAAAAAAATAATAACTAGGCTGGGAGTGGAGCTCAGTGGTAGAGCATTTGCATGGTGGAGGCCCTGGGTTCCATCCCCAGCACTGAAACAAACAAACAACAACAACAACAAAAATAGCTAAAAGGGAAACAACAAACTTGCTAACTCCAGTAAGTATTCCCTCCCTCTCTGCCACCTACCCTGCCCTGCCCGACAACAAAACAAACACAAAACATAACCTCTGTGTCATACAGGCGTATTTGATAATGTCATCCTGCATGTTCCTGCGCCAACAGAATACACACCATCTGACTGCTGTTTAGAAACAAAGTGGTCTCCCTGCCAGCCTCTGCCTTCCTACTTCAACCCATTTCATGACAGTCATGCCTACGTGATAGGACTAGTCAGAGACACATGTGGCAATCCCAACCTGCTGGAAATGACAGATACGCAACATTTGAGACATCCTCAAACATGCCCTTTGACAATTTCCTAAAATCTTCCTAATTTAAATAATAATAGCTGCTAGTACTGACTGAGCACCTACTAAACATTTTGCATATACTACCTCATTCATCATCATAACAACTCTATTAAGTCTATTATTTTCTTCATCTTAATATTGGGAAAACTGAGGCATAATGATTTACCCAAGATCACACAGTTAGCTGGTGGGGGTAAGATTTGAACCCAGGCTATCTGGTACTACTGTAGTGCACTGCATCCCAGAGAGAAAAGAGCTGATTCTCTATTTCCTAAAACTAAATGTTTGTTTTCACATTTATATTCAAAGAAATCCAATATTTAGCAGACCTCTTCAAACAACCAGCCATAGAGTAAAAGAATAATGAAGGAATATTTCTTAAAGGGAAGCATCATAATTATTCATTTCTTTCCCTTACATGATCCACTCCTTTTTCCATCTCCAATTCTAACTCAGCAACATTTCTTGTACTACAGTAATACCAGTCACTCTGTAACTTCCCTCGAAGTCTTCTTCCAAGTCAATGGTTCTGAGTTCATCCAGCCCCATTGAACACAGCAGTCATGACCATCAACTGTCTCTGGCTGGTCCTGCCTTAATGGGTAGGGCCAAGGAACTGGCAAGCTACATACCAGGACCCCTTCTCTATGCTGATTTTAGTCTGTAGAGCCATTATCAGCCCATTCCTGACTTCTTTCATAACATGGTAACTATAGAACATGGTAGCTTATATCCCAAAAGCAAAAGCACTTCTAACTTTTTTTTTTAATGTCCTCATGGGTCATGGTGACTCACACCTGTAATCCCAGCTACTCAGGAGGCTGAGGCAGGAGAATTGCAAGTTCAAAGTCATCCTAGGGAATTTAGTGAGACCCTGTCTCAAAATAAAAAGGACTGGAGATGCAGCTCAGTGGTAGAGCATTTGCCTAGCATGCATAAGGCCCTATGTTCAATCCCCAGAACACACACAAAAAAAAGACTTCAGCGATCCAAGAGTTACTTTGTTCTGTCCTCTAGACCCCCCTCCTCAGCTGTTCAATGGCTCAGAGAACAGAGCAACCAGAAGAGAACAGAACAGCTTCAGTGGGGCCTCCCCAGGAGAGCAGAGAGGAGGAAGTTCTAATTCTGCTTAAAAAGAGGACCAGAAACACCCAAAATATAGAATCTTCTGCTATTTCCTGTTTCCAGAAATGGCAATACTCTCCATCCATACAGAAACATTCGCAAGAGGGGCTGTGGATGTAGATTAGGGGTAGAATGCTTGCCTAGTGTGCATGAAGCTGTAGGTTCAATCCTCATCACCAAAATAGAAAGAAAGGAAAGAAACATAAATAAGAAACCTGGGAGTCCTCCTGGCATCTCTCTACCTCGTACTCTGCAGCCAGTCCTACACCATTTCCTGTTAATGTTAACTCTGTCAAAATCCCTTGAACTAGTCCATTTCCTCCATTCTTTTTTTTTTTTTTTTAGATTTATTTATTTGTTCTAATCAGTTGTACATGACAGTAGGGTGCATTTTGGTACATTATACATAAATGTAGTATAACTTCTCATTTTTCTAGTTGTACATGATATAGAACCATACCGGTCATGTAATAACACATGTACATAGGATAATAATGTCCAATTCATTCTACTATCCTTCTTACCCTCCTTACCCCCTCCCCTCCTGTCACTATACTTTACCTAATCCAAAGTACCTCTATTTTTCCACAGCCCACCCCTCATTGTGAATTAGCATCCACATAGCAAAACATTCAGCCTTTGGTTTTTGAGGATTGGCTTATTTTGCTTAACATGATATTCTCCAGCTTCATCCATTTACTTACAAATGCCATAATTTCATTCTTCATTAAGGCTGAGTAATATTCCATTGTGCATGTATGCCACATTTTCTTTATCCATTCATCTGTTGAAGGCCATCTAGGTTAGTTCCATAGTTTAGCTATTGTGAATTGAGATGCTATAAACATTGATGTGGGGAGTCATTATATTATGCTGATTTTAAGTCCTTTGGGTGTAAACCAAGTAAATTTCCTTCATTCTTAACCACCACATCTTTCATTCACTCAACAGACATTGGGTAAATTTCCTGTGTTCCAGGAATTATTCTATAGACCAGTGCCAGGAAGATAGCAGCAAATGAAACAGAGACCCCAGCCTTTGTAGAATTTACCTTCCAGAGACCCTAAATCCAACTCCACATCTGCAGCCTGTGTCAAGGCCAATTCCTTAGTGGCCTCTCCACATCCTGCAGCCAGAGGTTTGTGGGATGACAAAATTGACAATGTCCCTCTAGCACACTCACAGATGAAAAGCATTCCATTGCTTACAGGAGAGGTGAAATACCTTGTCCACCAAGCTTACAAACCTTCAGCATGGCAGCATCCACTCACCTCTCCAGCCTCACCGGACTCTATCCTGGTCATATTTGTTAGTTCTGTCTGTTCTTTTACTAAGGACTGAGTTACTATCTCCTGCCACATGGCCTCAGCCTTGCTCTTCCCTCTACTTGGAAGCATCTTCCTTTTCACAGCTGGTTAACCCTCACCCGCTTTTCATGTTTTACCCAAATCCAACACATTAATTTGATGCCTTCCTTTCTGCATACTTTCTTCTTGTTGTTGTTTATTTGATACTTAGGATTGAACCCAGGGAAAATTTACCACTGAACCACATCCCCAGCCCTTTCTACTTTTTATGATGGGGTCTTCCTTAGTTGCTGAGGCTGGCCTTGAACTAGGAATCCTCCTGCCTCAGCCTTCCAAATCACAGAAGCTTTCTGCATAGTTTGAGATAACCAAGAAGATGGTGATGAATCAGTCTTATAGGTTGGTTCTCTTAAGGAGTTTCTAGAATAGCAGGGGAGAAAGACAATTACTGTAAATTCTAAGTGCATGGCTGACTCTGGGTTATCCCAGTGCACCAACGGAATGTTTTTCTACCTTAGCCTTAATCTTTTTCTTAAAGTCAGAGGGGCCATAGATGGGGGTCTCATCTTTGGTCACTCATTATGTAATTGTTTATTCATCTAATATTATTTGTTAAACATCTTCCAAGTGCCAAGCACAACTGGAGAACTAGTGAGCAAGACACTTTCTTCCATCATGGAGTTTATATTCCTTTAGGAAAGCCAACAGAAATAACTAAACAAACATAATATGGAATTTCAGGTGTGTTGAATACTATGAAGCAAAATAGAACAGTAGGGGGCTACAATGCGATGGGGAGATGAATGTAGATAGTTTGTTAGAGAAGTTTTCTCCAGGGGTGTTCACATTTGAGCCAAGGTCTGCATGAAGTGAGGGAGAGAGTATAAATCTGGTAACGCTGTGTTCTGGGCAGAGAATAGCTAGTGCAAGGGTCCTGAAACATATTCAACCACTTCAAAGTAGCCTGGGACTTGGTAGGCCTCAAAAGTGGCCTTCTTATCTCTAGTCTTGCCTCTCTGATAGAAACTGAAAGACTATAATCATTGTTCTCCCTGGAGAAGAGAGGAAAATAGAGATGTGTGGAGTTTTAGTCAGCTCTTTTGCCACTAGGACCAAAAGACCTGACAAGAATAATTTTAGAGGAGGAAAAGTTTATTTGGCTCTCACAGTTTCAGAGGTCTCCATCCATAGATGGCTGAGTCCATTGCTCTGGGCCTGCGGTGAGGCAGGACATCATGGTGGAATGGTAGAGTAGAGGAAAGCAGCTAAGGACATAGCACCAGAAAGCAGAAAAAACACATTGCAGATCAGGGGCAAAATATAAACCCCAATGACTCACCTCCTCCAGCCACCCCCTACCTTCTTATAATTACCACCCAGTTAATCTCTAGCAGAGGACTGAGGCACTGATTAGGTTAAGGATCTCAGTACCCAATCATTTCACCTCTGAACTTTCTTGCATTGCCTCACACATGAGCTTTGGGGGGAAACTTCATATCTGAACCATCACATGTGCCACTCTATTGTCTGCACATCTGCATGATGAAACCCGGATAGTCCTTCTGCCAATCAGCAACTTTCCTGGCAACTGTCCTCCATCACTTCCCAGGTCTGCTTCTTCACATCTTTCCAAGGTAGAATTTCTCCACTC